GGCCCAAGCCTTGTCTGGGCAACCACCCCATTTATAACCCAAGAGCTGCTTGCCTGCCCCATGTCTATTAAGCAAACCATCTGCTTACCACGACAGACAGGTACACATCGCCCAAGGCTGAAGAAACGGGAATGCAGCTCCTTGGTGAAGCAGATGTCTGCAGCTGTTGGGGTCCTGAGAGAGCACAGAGACTGTTAAAACCACGTCACAACATGCTCAGCCAAGTTTTCATCTGGGCTCTCCAAAACCTTGGGAGCAAAACTGAATATGATGGGCAGCCCCACAAACACCCAGGAGCTTTTAGTTTTATATATTCAGTTTGTATACTGCCCTATCCCTGTAGATCTCAGCTCGTTCCTTCCTCACAGGGAATAACCACCTTTCCCAACACTTACCAGCGCATTTTCTGCAAGTTCCAGACGTGCCGTAATTTCAGGATCCCTGGGGGAGGCACAACCACATTAATACAGGGAACAATCCAAATTATATCTACCATAGCTAATGCAGGAAAATGTTGCATGCACAGGGGGTCAGGCTTGGGATTCATCCTTAAGAAAGACAGGTTAAGCCTCCTTCATGAAGGTCCTAAGGGAGTGGGGGGGGGGAGCACCCATTCTTGCCCACTGTGCTCCAGACCTCAGGAAGGTGAATGGCCTGGTCTCTCAAACTGAAGAAAAAAGCAATACCTTCCCCTTCCCATCCACCAGGTGGCAGCACTTCCCTTCTAGTACCCTACCCCACAGATGTGGATCATCCATGCAGGACTGGTGGTTGCAGACCGTCAAAAGAGGGATGCCTTCCTGGCGCTTCTCAATAAGCTCATACAGTACTTCTTTGTTATGGACATTCAGCTGGTTCATATACCCTGAAAGTGGGAGAGCAAAATGACAGCTCAGTGACAGCAAAGAGAGTGTAGAGAGAAAGGCTGAGGAGTTCCTAGGCTCGAATTCAGACTGGAGCAAGATAGATCGCTCTGTCTAGGTTCCCAGTGCTCTAGCTAGCCATTAATAACAATGAATAGCGGCAATAATTTGTGGCTTTCCATAGTTAGCAGTCATATGGCAGTTTTGAGCAAAGCATTAGGTAAATGTAAAGGTAAAGGACCCCAAGACGGTTAAGTCCAGTCAAAGCATTACACACAGTTCACATAGGAAGCTGCCTTGGCATTGGCTACACAGACTGGAAGCAGAACTGTCTGGTTCCTGGATTCAGGGATCTTTCCCATACATGCCTGGAAATGCCAAGGACTGAGCGTGGGACACTCTGCACTCAAAGGGCAAGCTGCCCCACTGAGATGCACACATTGTTTTGCTGCAACCCTTGAAACAACCTTGCAAGACCAATATTGTTACATGCACCATTGCCAGAGTGCTAGTAGTGGATAGGTTGCCAAAAGATACCTAGCGAGCTCTTGGAAGAGATGAGCTACAACAGCTCTCATTAGGGGCATGGGATGGGGAGAAATGGGGAAAACAGAAGACCTAGCTTATACAAGGCCCGGCTCCTGGGTTCTGGTGACCCTCAGGCAAGAATGAGTGGCTATAAAGAAGAGGGAGCGGCCAAGATATGTAAACCAATGGAGCACACAGACAGCTCCCTCACAGGCTTTGCATTCACCAGGTCCTCTCTTCTCCCATAACAAGTCCAGGGCCAGATTGTGGCCTTCCGGGTCTCCCTATCTGGCCTCAAAACTCTCCTTTGGCTGCACCACTTCCTAGCCCTGCTTTTCACCCTGCTTCCTGAGAGATTTTGTCTCTTGCTTGCCTGAATGGGGTGTAGAAGCCTCTGGTTTCTGCTCAGGTGAAACGTAACCTATTACACAAAGGCAAGAGTCCTCTCTCTTGTTCCACCCACTTTTGCTTCTGGCTCCACCCACCCATATGGCCCCCAGAAGTTTGCCCAAGAGACAATTTGGCCCTCAGGTGGAAATAGGTTCCCCACCCTATGCCCACCCTGTCACTAATCTAGTTCTGACCCCAAGAGCTCAGTCTCCATTTCCCTGCCCAGCAGAAGTGAGTCAAAACCTTGGGATCCCTTCCACTTCTACAATATTAAGATTCTAAGGAATCTCCACATGTCTTCCTGAGCTCCAGGCACAGCATGAGTCTCTTGTACTGCTGCAGTCTTCCAGGGAGCCTAAATGGCAATGCCGTCAAGCATTTCTACACACCCTGCCATGAACTCTTTTTGTCCCTTTTGTGACACTAGCTGTGTAGGGGCAGAAGTTACAGGTACTCACTGGTCCAGAAGCAGCTGTAGGTGCCCACCAAGCCCATGACCACCCTGCTGGCCAAGGTCCAGGGCAGATGTGGGGCCCGGGGAAAGGGCCATTTCACCTCAAGGGGCATCTTCCCATCCCTGGCAATCCTTGAGGCAAGAGTGTCAGCTGTCCCTGCCAAAGAGAACATCAGATTGCTTTGCAACCTATCACATTCGCCTACGGCTCTTGGTATGTAGTCCTCTCCCCTGCCAAGAAGGTTGTGTTGCAACTTGCAGGTGGAGCCACCACATCCTGCTGTCTCACCTCTGCCTGAGGGCTGTCACCACATTTAAAAAAAGAAAAAAGTGATGAGGCTAAACAACAGGATTATGCAGAACAGTGCAATGATGAGAAACAGAGAGGTTGCAACTGAAGTTACCTGGGCCAACCCTATAGAAATTGAGAAACTGCTGTTGCAAGTCCACACCCAGCAAAAACTATTACTAAAGCACCTCCGTTGTGTTGTTTTACCCCAGATCTAGAAAAATTTGAGGTGGAGGTGTGAAAGGGTGGCAAAGACCACTAGTTAGTGGTGCAGGGATTTTACTATACACATTATATACTGTGAATGAAAGCTTGGAGAGAAGTGGTAATTTTGAGAAGTATTTTGAGGGAATGCCTTCTTTCCACCCGTCATCCCTGATGCACCCATTCTTTTTTAAATTGGTCCTCTAATCAGAGGAGCAATCTGAGCAACACAAACTCAAGAAATGGCTCTCAAATGTTTTAGGTGGGTATTTATTGCACTTTTGTTCGTATTTATTTATTTCACTTCTTGATTGTAGAAAAACCTTTAAGTGGTTTACAAAAAGAACAGTACAATAGAACTATTTTTTAAAAAATAAAACATACAAAAAGTAAAAACCAGGAATAAACTAAAAACACATCAGAATTCTAGAAATCTAGGTAATTTCTTTTGTGAGCCGAATCTTCTTCCCCTGTGTGCATACAGAGGTGTAACGAAAGATGCACGGAATCCCTCAGTCCTCCTCTCCCTTCCTACCAGCCTTCACCTCCTTTTCTTGCAAGCAGGCAGCCACCTGCGCCCTGATACCCTCCCACATCTCTCCCATGGAAAGAGGGACATCCTAAGGCAGCATGTCCAGAGTCCATTTTGGGGACCTAATCCGGCCTGCTGGTCGGTTTCATCCGGTCCCTGTGACAGTTCATCTCCTGGGGTAAAATCCTAAAGAAAGCTCAAAAACAACTTTGGTCGGGCCTCACGCATGTTCACTTCATCAAAACTGGCCCGTCTATGAAAAAAGTTTGGACCCCCCCCCCCGTCCTAAGGGAACATTCCTAAGGGACGTTCCGGGATGAAATCGGAAGCCCAGCTCGGCTTCTCTCAATCGGGGCGCCCCTGGAGAAGGAGGGTCTGCGCGCCCCTTTCCGACCTTTGCCATGGCGCCTCTTTCTCTCTCTCTCTGCCGGGGGTCTGGGAGCCCCCTTCCCTCGCCCTTCTCTACCAAGCAGCCTCTGCCGGCCGGTTTCCGCAAGGCCCAGAAACCCAAGAGGGGCAGCTTCCCCACCTCGGCGCCGGGGGAGGCGGGTGCCAGACGGAGATGCCAGACGCCGGGAATGAAGCGGGAGGCAGGCGGCGCCCCTGCCCGCCCCCCGCGCCTCCTCCCCGCTTCTCCCCATTGCACCCCACTCACCTCCTGCTAGCTGCCTTCAAACTCCTCTTCTTTCTTATCGCGGCGAGAAAGAAGCAGCTCGGCCCCAAAGCGCCCCAGTTTTGCAAACTCTCTTCCCACGTAAATATTTTTTAATTATTTATTTATTTTTATTTTAATAAAAGAGGCGTAATCAGAAACAGAGGGTCGTAAAGCGTTCTCGGACACTTAGCGGTCGTGAACTGTCGCAAAAGGCTACTCGAGTGGCGCGCGCGCTTTCCGGCAAGGCCTCGGAACCGGATGGTGGTTCAGAGTGACGCGCACGATCGGAGCTTCCGCTAAATGTTGATGGCAGCAGTGTCGCTCTACCCCGTGGCATCTCTATGGTGGATCCCTATTTGCCTCTCCTTGGGAGTTAAAAGTGGGAAATATCCTCCTTTAATTTAGTGAGGAATACAGTAATCACGAATAATGAACCTCCTCCCGCCTTGGTTTTATGATACGAGTGGAGAACTCCGGCATTTTGAAAGACAAACAGAAACAGACAGGACAGGCTTTTGTTCTTAGATTAGGAACTTCCTTATGAGTTAAAAAAGAGCTGGCTGAGCTCGCTTAAAACAAATGCTGCCCCCCTTTCATATAAGCATATTGTATTCCTTATCTCTCTCTGTGTGATGCACATATATTTTAAATGGGAGCAAACAAAATATTCCATGTGCAATGTCCCTATATTTGGCGCCCTTTAACAGCGCGATCCTATACATTTTACTCAAAGGGACTTGCTTTGTTTCAGGAGACTCGCGGCGCAATCCTGGTGCACGTTTTCAAAGAAGTCCTACTGAGCTACTCCCAGAAAAGCGTGCATAGAATTGCAACCTGTAATAGATCACTGAATATTACTTTGTTTTACATGTTGTTTATTTCAAGTCATAACTTTGACTTACTTGTATCGGATCGGATTTGTTATAAGATGTGCGACCTTTGCGGTATGTGTTGTTGCTTCTCCAGCTTGTAAAGCCCCTTGTGTATAGCAACACAGAAAGGTGATATGCAAATAAAAAGTGATGATGGCGATTCATAACTGAATCTCATCTCGCCACGTGCAAATCCTTTTCCCTGTGGAAATGCGTTGAAGCCGAAAGCGTGACTGGATGCAGCTCGTGAGCATCCAAACGGCAGCCACTCCTAAAGCAAAGAATGGTCTCTCTTATTGTGAAGGAGAAAAACAAACGCACCGGCGTGAAGCGTTTGGCAAAGGACTACATTTCCCAGCAGCCGCATTAGGGTTGACGCATGCCCTCGCGGGGCTAGAAGCCCTCTCCAGGTGGCCGCCGAAGGCTTCCCCGTGCCCCGATTCCCATTCATCAGTCCCGGAGCCGTGCACGACCTCGGGAGCCGCCGGCATGTCTTCTTCTGCAGCCGCGGAACCCGAGAGCAAAGCGCTGCCCATCGTCGTGAGGACGTACTTCTCCGAGGTCGTGGAAGACGACGGGAACTTCATCCAGGCGGTTTGCAGCCTGTGCAGGCACAAGAGGAAGACCATCCGAGGGCAGCACAAGGCGCCATCCAATTTCACCAAGCACGTGCAGGTACAGAATGGCAGCAAAGGGCCACTACGCATTCGCACGTGAGCCAGCCCGATTTGCAGATAGGTTTGAGATTAGCGATCCGGGAGCCCCCGTGGGCACGACCGGCATGCAGACTCCCCGTGCAATCGTGCAAAAGGGATGGCGGCTCAGGTGCTCTGTGCGCTTTAGGGCCGCTTATTATGCTCAGGAGCGCTTTGCCGTTATTAGCCACCCACCCGGCCGGCAGCATCTTGTTTCGGACCCCGGTGTCGCCTGGTTCGAGTGCGCGCGTCCAAGCAACCTTGGTCCTCCTCAATAGATCAGATTCAGGCCATGGCCCTCCTGCAGTTGCTGATGTCTACCCTTAGGGCTGGAACAGGGATGTGGCTCTCCAGGTGTTGTTGGACTGCTTTCCTCATCCCCAAGCCAACATGACCAGTGAGTGGTCAAGCATGGTGGGAGCTGTAATCCAGCAAGATCTGGAGAGCCACAAGTTCCCTGCCCCCAGGCTAAGCAAAGACTACTCTGCATTGCAAGGAGTGGAGTCTGGACTCTTACATCACCTGATTCCACAAATCGTGGTTGACCTCTCCAGTCCTCAAGGATCCTAGTCTTGGACTGGAGAAGGGATAGCACATCACGTTGGAGAACCACATCAAAATATTTTCAGTGCATATTTTCATACACATCAAATGCCAAACTACAGCAGATAAATTTATTGCCTTTAGGATTATCTTACTTTAAAATAATAATCATGAAATAGGTGCTTAGAACGTAAGAAGAATCTTGCATGGATAGGGAAGCTGTGGACCTCCAAGTGTTGTTGAACCACAGCTCCCATCATCCCTGACCACCGGCCAAGGTGGCTGAGGGTGATGAGAGTTTGACAACCTCTGGAGGGTCACTGGTCCCGTCATATGTTTTAGTGGCTCCAGCCAAAGGTCCATAGGAAACCATCATTCTGTTTGGGAAGGCCTGCTAGATGCTTCAGGAAAGGTCATAAGATGAGTGGGAAAGTACCCACCCCCAATTTTTTATGCCCAGCATTTGGTATTTAGAGATACTGTATACTGCCTCTGAATATGTTGATTCTAATCGGTTGTCATAGCTAAGAGACTTTGCAAAAAGCATACCTTAAAATCAGATGTATTATAAAAAGAATTTATTTTTACTCAAAATTAATTTTTAGCAAGGTTAGTGGATCCTTTTGCTTCTTTGCTTTTTTTCGTTTAGCAATTTGGCAGCATTCTTGCAAATTTCTCTGTAAGGTTATGGAGACTGGATATTTTAAAAGAAAAATAAAGGGGCTTGATTTGACTAATGGGTGGACATCCACATAAGGACTCTGCCAGTGCAGTGGGACTTTCCTCCCCACTGCAACCCCCATTGGCTTAGGTTGGGATTGGGAGAATCCCCAGAACAGCACATGGGGTGTGGTGGGAGGAGAGGGGAGTTGATTCCATCAAGCACGCAGAAATGTTTGTGCTGATCTCCTTAGTGCTATGTTAAATTCCTCCCAATATGTGTGAGATCCTGACTCCACAGGTCATCAGGTCTGTCAGTACTTTTGCATGTGACAAGCATTTATATATTTCTGTATGATTCCCATAATAATTTCTATATCATATAGCACTGACTGAAATATTTCTCTGTTGTAGAGAATCCATGGAGAAAAATATCTGAAGCTGATGCACAAAAGGAAGAATATCTATTGCAAACAAATTGGTAGTGGCATGTTAAAAGTTTCTGAGAAAATTCCAAAATGCAGTGAGCCTCATTGGGACCCTTACTCACAGTATCAGCTCTGTGATCAGTCTTTACCCAAAGAAAACCTGGATCAACTAATTCTCAATTTTCTCATCACTGATATGCTTCCCTTGTCGATTGTTGACGGAAGTGGCTTCCACACTTTGATTAAAGGGATTATTCCCAGTGCCACAGTCACTTCTACAGAAACCTTACGGAACAACCTTGCAAGACAGTATTCCCTTGGTCCTTGAAAAAATTAAAAGGAAATTGGACTCAGTTTCTTATGTTTGTACAACTGCAGATGTGTGGGTGCATCAGGGGCAAAGTTATGTGGGTGTCACATGCCACTGGATCAATTCAGCTACCTTGGCAAGAGAATCTGCTGCCTTGAGCTTCCGACGCTTTCCTGGGCCGTGTTCATACAGCAAGCTTGCTTCTGTGCTGACTGAGATCCATTCGCAGTATGATTTGGACTCCACAAAAATAACACACATTGTCACGGACAACAGGAACCATTTCCAGAAAACCTTTCAGCTGTTCTCTGGACCCAAAGAGCAGCTGGAGGATAGCTTGGACCAGCAAGAGGGGAGTGATGGGGAGAAGCAAGTGAATCCCCCGGATGCTGATGCCTGTGTCAATGTGCGCATTTATGAAGCCTTGTCAAGTGACACTGTTGATTCTTCTGACCTCTTCTACTTGCCACCCCGTGTGGCCTGCTTTTCCTGCACACTCAGCTTTGTGGCTGCGACAGCTTCTTCCAGAGCACTGGCCACCAACCCTCCATACAGGCACCTTTTCCAAAGCGTGGCAAGCAAATGTTGTGCTTTAAGGAATGTTTCCCAAGATAGCCTGAAAAATGCAGAGCTTGTTAATTACGCCCTCGGAAAGTCTCTCTCCAAACCGGCCTCCATATGGAATTCTGAGTTTGACAGCTTTTGCCGCATATACGACATGCGTGGCACGGTGAATCTCATAATGGCCTGCCTCCAGCTTCCAAAATTTACCAACCTGGAGCTGGAGTTCTTAGGGGAGTGGTTGGAGGTGATGTCTCCGATTGCTACAGCACTTGACAAACTTCAGACAGAAGAGGCCATCGAGTCTTTCTGCGGTGCTGTCCTGCCAATGGTGCTTGTGTTAAACAGCCGACTTGAGTCGGTGTCTCCAAAATACACTTCTTGCCTGGCAGATGCACTGAAGGAGGAGCTTCAGAAGCAGTTTGGGCACATGCTGACCTTTGACACAGCTGTAAGTAGTAAAAATACAAAGCCACTAGTCATTGCTTCTGTATCACATCCATTTTTTAAATTGCGTTGGCTGCAAAGTCAAGATGATAAGAAGATTGCTCAGGAGCTTTTCTTACGGGAGCTGCTCCGCTGTGACACTCTGTCGTCGAAGGCTGACAGTCAAGCCGCAGCAGTGAAAGCTGCCGATGATTTTTATGGCTTTGATGATCAGGGAGTGGCGGCAGCTGAGTCTGCATTAAGGAATATTGGGGTGCAGTTCCTCAACGATCCATCGCATGAGCTGAGGCAACTGAAAAGATACCCAGCCATCGCCAAGCTTTTTATCAAGTTCAACACCACTCTGCCAAATTCTGCTCCTGTAGAAAAACTGTTCTGCCACAATGGACCAATCCTGGGACCCAAAATGGCCTCCCTTCAGGATGATGTGTTAGAGATGATGATGTTGTTGCAGAAAAATTCCCAGTTTCTTGTATGATATGTGTCCATAGAGCAGTGGCCTAGCGTCAACATGATGCCCTCCATATGTTGTTGGACAGCAACTCTGATACTCATCTCTAACCATTGGTCATACTGGCTGGAGCTGAAGGAGTCCCAACAATGACTGGAGTGCCACAGGCTCCCACACCACTGCTCTGCAGCCCAGTTTTTCCACATGTTCCACCTTCAGAAAAACTCTTTCCATGTTGCTCCTTCTGCTGAGGCACCAATGAAACTGTCACATCACTCCTATGCATTGCAGAGTGTTTTGGGGCATGTTCCAGGGTGCATACTCAGGGATGGCTCAAGAAAGGTGCTGTTGTTGCTGCTGCTGCTTGCTGTATTAAGCAGTGTAGGTGTGATGGGCTACAGGGACTCACCAGTACCTTGCCCTTAAGTAGACCCCAGTCCCTACCACCAAGCAATGACAAGGCAATGAATCCTGAGGAGGCCATGTTTGCTCTCCTTGCTTGGAGACTCCACTTGTGCTAGAAGGGGCATGGTAGCTCTCGTTCATCTGCTTGATGGGAGAGAAGGAGTACCTGGAGGATATAAAGCCACAGGGAGAGGGAGGAGGGGCAGTGGAAGGCCAGAGAACAGGCTGGACTACCTAGGCATCTAAGAGGGCTCTCACACAAATAAGGATGGCTTGGCCCATACTCCCTTGCCAGGTGCCTTCTGCAATCTTGCTGAGTTTTCCTCAGACAGTTGCCCAGTGCGCCTGCATGGTGAGGGCCAGATCTGTGTCCACTCAGTTCATGCTGAGCACTGGACAAGCTTGTTGGCTTTCGTATAAACTTGGTTTGAAATTTGCTGCTTTGAACTGTATTCTTTTGATAAATATTTTACACTCTGTTTTACGTAAAGCGTAGCATTGATTAAGTGACGTATACATTTTGTTAAAATAAAAGAAAACATTTCCATGGTCATGAACTGACAGTGCACCCTGAAGTCCCCTCTGACTGTATATTGCACAGGAAGATCATCAGCAATAAGGAAGTTGCCTTTCGCGGCAGCTTGTCCACCCTTCCTGATCTTACCAAGAACCTCTTACATAGGCGCCGACCCCATGGGGCCTGAGGGGGCCCGAGCCCCCTCAAAAATTTTATTGGGGGGGCTCCGCCCCCCCAATAATTAAAAAAATTATCGCGCGCCTTGGCTCCCTCGTCGCGCGCCTTGGCTCCCGCAGCCGGCGAGGGGAGCCCGGGCCGCGCGCGGCTGCTGCTGCCGCCTCTCCTGGGGGCGCCGCCTCCCCGGGCGGGAACGCTGCGGTTGCGCGAGGGAGGAGGGCGGCCCCCGGGGGCTGGGAGAGCCGGGCTGCCGTGGCCGAGAGGGCTGCTCTGCCGGGCGCCGCTGACATAATTTAAGCAAATTATCGCGCGCCTTGGCTCCCGCGGCCGGCGAGGGGAGCCCGGGCCGCGCGCGGCTGCTGCTGCTGCCGCCGCCGTTTGTGGTCATGGCGGAGCTGCCGCCTAGGGAGGAGGGGAGAGGGGGCTGGCGGGGGGGGGGCAGGCGGTGAAGGGGGCTTGGCTGCGCTCTCTCTCTCTCGCGCGCTCTCTCTCGGTCTCTCTCTCTCTCTCTCGGGCTCTCTCTCTCTCGGGCTCTCTCTCTCTCGGGCGCTCTCTCTCTCTCGGGCGCTCTCTCTCTCGGGCTCTCTCTCTCTCTCTCTCGGGCTCTCTCGGGCTCTCTCGGGCTCTCTCTCTCTCTCTCTCTCTCTCTCTCTCTCTCTCCGGCTCTCTCTCTCTCGGGCTCTTCCCGCCCAGGGCTTGTGGGCATCTGCTCTGAGATGAAGATGGAGGTGACTTCCCTTAAAGGTCATGGAATCATAGAGGTGGAAGGGACCCAAAGGTCATCCAGTCCAACCCCCAGCAATTCAGGACTCACAGCTAAAGCATCCCTGGCAGATGCCCCCCCCGACCTCTCCCTAAAAGCCCCTTCCCCTGTCTGACTGCTCTCACCACCAGAAAGGCCTTCCTAATGTTTTGTGGGAATCTCATTAAGCCTACAGAGCTATATATGCAAATGGATCTACTTATTCTTTCCCTTGAAGATACATTGATTTGTTTGTTACTGTGGTTTCGATCAATACTTTCCAAAGATCTTTACATTTGTCCATGCATGATCTTTGTCTGAAAGCTCATGGGTTGCAGGAGTTGTCATAGGAGGTTATATTTTTGTCCTTCCAACTGTTATGGAAATTACAGGGGGGGGACATCTTTAAAGTTGTTAAATGTTGCAAATATTATGCCTGAATGTACCCTTTCAACTTGACAGCTCAGGGAAGTTACCTAGATAAAATCCTGTAACACAATGTATCAGCCTTAATCATTTTGCAGATGTTAAGGGGGGGGGGCAGAGCCTGCAGCCACCATCCCTTTCCGGTGGGGAGGGGGCAGAGGAAAGACAGGAAGCTTTTCCCTGCAGAGTTAGACCCCTTGGCTGCGTGGCCCTCGGGTCCCTTCAAACTCCTGGGCGTTTTGCTGGTGGGGGGCTGTGTGGGGGCCTGGGCGATGTCAGAAGAGGAAGCTTGCAGGCCTGGTTGTCTGTTGGGGGCAGCAGGAAGAGGCGGAGGGCAGGATGTGCAGCCCCTGCCTGGCTTTCCTGTGGGACCAAGGAAGCGGCTGGGGGGGGGGGACTTGGCCGCTGGCCTTTGTTGCGGAGGCGGCAGTGTGGGAACGCCAGTCCCAAGGGCAGCCTCTGGGGTCTGGGTGCTGCTGCCTGTCTCCTGCCATGGACTTGGCGGGGGGGGGGGCTGTGCTATTGGGCTGGCAGAGACTTAACGGGGGCTGCCTCTCCCAGCCAAAGCTGACCCACAAAATTGCAACCCAGTGTGTGTGTTTGTGTGTGGGGGGGAACCAGCCTGCACAGGGTAAGCCCCGATGGGGCTCCTGGGCTCCTTCTGATGCATGAAAATTGGAGGTTGTCCTTTACAGCTCAGCTCCCCAAGGGGCTCAAAGCCTCCCAAGTCCATTATCAGTCGGAGACGAATGAGTGGAAGCTGGAAGAAAGGGGGAATCTTTATTTTTCTGTTGAAACAGAGCCCTCCTTCCCACTGACATTTGCAAGGAGGGGAGGACCCCAAACAAAGGTGTGCAGCAGCTTTGAAAGACTTTTCCGGCTCAACATCAGGAAGAGCTTTCTGACAATAAGAGCTGTTCAGACGGTCTCTGCTCCCTGGAAGAGGCTAGGTGGCCATCTGTCAGGGATGCTTGAGCTAAGATTCCTGCATTGCAGGGGGCTGGACTAGATGACCTTGGGGTCCCTTCTGTCTCTATGATTCTATGATTAGCATAATACAAGCATCTCAGGAAGAGGCATCTACCAACAGAAATCCAAGAGTGTGGCTTCTCTCCTGTCTGTCAAGGGACCTGCAGATGCTGATTGCCTTACTTGGCCAGTTCCTTAGGACTGGTACATACAGTCATACCTCGGGTTACAGATGCTTCAGCTTAAGCATTTTCAGGTTATGGATGCACTGAAACCCAGAAGTACCGGAATGGGTTACTTCCAGGTTTCGGCACTTGTGCATGAGCAGAAGCGCTAAATCACAACCTGTGTGTGCGCAGACGCAGCAATGTGAGTTGCGAACACTGCGGGTTGCGAACGTGCCTCCCACATGGATCACGTTCGCAACCCGAGCGTCCACTGTACCTTGGTTCTCGAACAGAATGCGTTCCGGGAGTCCATTGGACTCCTGGAACCATTTGAAAACCAGAGTGCGGCTTCTGCCAGAGGAGCCCCCTGCAGCCAATCGGAAGCCGCACCGGATGTTCGCCCTCCAAAAATCATTTGAAAACCAGAACACTCACTTCCGGGTTTCGATTGTTCAGAAGCCGATTTGTTTGGGAGCCAAGGTGCTCGGCTTCTCAGGTACAACCGAACCTGAGTCCTTGGGGGCGCCGCCTCCCCGGGCGGGAACGCTGCGGGTGCACGAGGGAGGAGGGCGGCCCCCGGGGGCTGGGAGAGCCAGGCTGCCGTGGCCGAGAGGGCTGCTCTGCCGGGCGCCGCTGACATTGGAACTTAGAAAACTTCCCGGGGCAGGACCCCGGTATGGGCCCCCCCAATATTTTTTATAAGTCGGCGCCCCTGACCTCTTATGAGAGGAACTCAGAAGCTTGAGACTGCCATTCGGGAGTCTGGCTTCTCAAATGCAGCCAAAGCGACTCCATGAGGTTACAAGGAGCTTTAGATGTGGTGACACCTAGTTTGCTCTCTTGATCTTGTGGCATGTTACTTTAGTGTGGGGCCTCCCCTCTGGCCACAAGTAAAGGCCAGTCTGAGAACTGCTGCTGTAGAGAGATGATATAGAACAGGGGTCAGCAACCTTTTTCAGCCATGGGCCGGTCCACCATCCCTCAGACCATGTGTGTGGGGGGGGGAATGAACGAATTCCTATGCCCCACAAATAACCCAGAGATGCATTTTAAATAAAAGGACACATTCTACTCATGTAAAAACAAGCTGATTCCCGGACCATCCGTGGACCGGATTGAGAAGGCGATTGGGCCGCATCTGGCCCCCGGGCCTTAGGTTGCCTGCCCCTGATATACAGTGGTACCTCGGGTTACATACGCTTCAGGTTACAGACTCCGCTAATCCAGAAATAGTACCTCGGGTTAAGAACTTTGCTTCAGGATGAGAACAGAAATCGTTCTCCGGCAGCCCGGCAGCAGCAGGAGGCCCCATTAGCTAAAGTGGTGCTTCATGTTAAGAACAGTTTCAGGTTAAGAACAGACCTCCAGAAAGAATTAAGTACTTAACCCGAGGTACCACTGTAGAATCTTTCCTAAGAAAGTGAGCTGGCAAATCGCCTGCTTCAAATCTCCCCTCAGTTATGACCTCAGGCAAGTCACTCTGGTAGCTCAGTTGAAGACTGCCTCTTTGCATGCAGAAGGACCCAGGTTCAATTCTTGGCATCTCCAATTAAAAAAGCACATTGAGTAGCAGTTAGTTAATTGGGGCACTATCCATTGTTCCATCAATGCAAGGTTTTCACTTATCCTGGGACACATCTGCAATAAAGATGTAATAACAGTGGCCTACCTCACAGAACTGTTGTAAGGAGTATTGAAAGAATGTATATCAAGAGCTTTCAACAATTGGGTTAAGCACTATATAAATGCTAGATATTATTGTTGGATGATTTATATAATGTAGCAGGTATGTCAGAACACCCGCATTTTCATGGTTCACTGTACTATTTTTTGTCAAAATGCATTTATAATATTTAAATTTCAGAAAGCCACTATATATGATACTTTTTAAAAGTGCAAATAAAAAAACTGATCATTGAAATTCTTCATAACTCAACAAGCAACAGCCAAAAACCAAAACAGATAACTGTTTCCTGTGGAGAAAGACTGCACTCAGAGCTGGCCTACCCATGAAGCAAGTTGAGGCGACCGCCTCAGGTGGCAGGATTCATCACCTGAATTGACAGCAGATCCTGATGTTGATCTTCCTTCTTGGGCTGGCCCTGCGTATATTCAGTTAGTGAAACTCCTGCATAGGATAGCACCTTCTAGCTAGGAAGTTTTGATTAAAACAATGAGGAGGATGTAAGGATGTTTAACAGATGATCTCCGTAGACAACTGGATCGAGGCGGGTCAGGACTGCTGATCCTTTTAGATTTGTCAGCAGCCTTTGACATGGTCGATCATGATCTTCTGGACCACCGCCTCGCAGACGTGGGGATACAGGGCATAGCCCATAACTGGCTGTGCTCTTTTATCTCTGGTCGGGGACAGAGGGTGGCACTAGGGAGGGAAATGTTGCGCCATTCCTTGGCGTGTGGAGTGCCGCAGGGCGCAATTCTCTCCCCGATGCTTTTTAACGAAGATCATGGCCACTGGTCCCATCACCTCCTGGCAAATAGAAGGGGAAGAAATGGAGGCAGTGAGAGATTTTATTTTCTTGGGCTCCATGATCACTGCAGATGGTGACAGCAGTCACGAAATTAAAAGACGCCTGCTGCTTGGGAGAAAGGCGATGGCAAATCTAGACAACATCTTAAAAAGTAGAGACATCACCTTACCAACAAAGGTCCGTATAGTTAAAGCCATGGTTTTCCCAGTAGTGATGTATGGAAGTGAGAGCTGGACCATAAAGAAGGCTGATCGCCGAAGAATTTATGCTTTTGAATTATGGTGCTGGAGGAGACTCTTGAGAGTCCCATGGACTGCAAGAAGATCAAACGCATCCATTCTTAAGGAAATCAGACCTGAGTGCTCACTGGAAGGACAGATCGTGAAGTTGAGGCTCCAATACTTTGGCCACCTCATGAGAAGAGAAGACTCCCTGGATAAGACCCTGATGTTGGGAAAGATGGAGGGCACAAGGAGAAGGGGACGACAGAGGATGAGATGGTTGGATAGTGTTCTTGAAGCTACCAACATGAGCCTGACCAAACTGCGGGAGGCGGTGGAAGACAGGAGTGCCTGGCGTGCTCTGGTCCATGGGGTCACGAAGAGTTGGACACGACTAAATGACTAAACAACAACAACACCCTTGCCCAGATTATCCGGAGCTTTGGGCTGGGCTGTCACCAATATGCTGATGACACTCAGCTCTATCTGCTGATGGATGGCCACACCGACTTGGCCCTGAACACACTGACTTTGTGGAAGCTGTGGCTGGATGGTTTCATGGGAGCCGATTGAAACTAAATCCTTCGAAGACAGAGGTCCTACGGCTGGGTCGGGATGGCATGGGGATGAGGGACCAACTCCCTTCTTTTGCGGGGGACCAATTAGTGCCATTGCCTTCCGTTAAGAATTTGGGTGTAATCCTTGACACCTCCCTTTCCATGGAGGCACAAGTTACAGCAACAGCTAAGGCGACATTTTTCCACCTTCGCCGCATCAAGCAGTTGGCCCCTTACCTTTCCCGCCCCGACCTGGCCACAGTGATCCATGCGACGGTCACCTCCAGGCTTGACTACTGTAATTTGCTCTAGGCAGGGCTGCCCTTGAAGCTGTCCCAGAAACTCCAGAGGGTGCAGAATGCTGCAGCGAGGCTCCTCACAGGGTCTCTGCCATGGGAGTATATTCACCCAGTTCTTTTCAAGCTGCACTGGCTCCCGGTAGAGTACAGGGTCAGATTTAAGGTGCTGCTTTTGACCTTTAAAGCCCTTCACAGCCTAGGACCCTCGTACCTACGGGACACCCTCTCCCGGTATGCCCCATGGAGAGCCTCAAGGTCCATAAATAGCAACACCCTAGTGGTCCCAGGCCCTAAGGAAGTTAGATTGGCTTCAACCAGAGCCAGGGCCTTTTCAACTCTGGCTCCGGCCTGGAGGAACTCTCTGCCTCATGAGACCAGGGCCCTGCAGGATCTGATTTCTTTCTGCAGGGCCTGTAAGACAGAGTTGTTCCGCCTGGCCTTTGGCTTGGAGCCAATTTGATTCCCTCCCCCTCTTTCTTTTTTCCTTTCCTTCTCCTCCTGCAATGAGGCTACATTTTAATATTTTAATGTTTCAATATTTTAATGTTGTATTTTAATTTTGTTTTTAAGTTGTAATCATTCAACTTGTTTTTATTATTGCTTGTAAGCCGCTCTGAGCCCAGCCTTGGCTGGGGAGGGTGGGGTATAAATAAAAATTATTACAGTATTATTATTATTATTAAGATTCTTTTGTGTTCTTTGCTTATCAGATTTTCCACAGAAATTGTAAATTTGGATTAAATGGAAAAATAACATGGGGTGGCATTTTGACAAGGGTGATGTCCTGTAGATACGGCACAAAACATGCACGCGTGAGCAGCTCTCAGTGCACAATGAACTGCTGTAGAAGCGCCCACAAGGTGCTTCTTCAAGTATACATGGCACAGACCACTGAGGGCTGGGGTAGGTAAAAGTATATATAATTAGCAGACCTAGAAGTTAACTGGCAACCCTGAGTTTAAGCTCTCATGGTTCTTGGTGTCTGCCCCCCAACCCCCACCATGTATATGATCTGACCTGTTATCCTGGTATGTCCAACAAGCAGTAACACACATCGCATTGAAAATGCTTTTGCTTTCTCAGATGTTGTGCTTGATACTTAATGAGCTTTTATTAGTGCTAGTGAAGACATACTGCGTAATGGATTGCCGTAGTATTACCACATCAGTTTTAAGCAAGTTGCCCCACACTTTCACTGAATGTGATGACATTGTGGTTGGTTGTATATTCAGTTGTTGCTGGATATAGTTTCACTCATGGGCGTAGCCAGGATTTTTGTTAGTGGGGATAAGCAGTGGCATAGCGTGGGTTGTCAGCACCCGGGGCGAGGCAAGTAATTTGTGCCCCCTCTGCCCTAGGGGCAGAGAGCTGCGAGTGCGAGAGCCCCCCCCAGATGTTGCGCCCGGTGCGGCCGGCCCCCCCTGCACCCCCCACGCTACGCCACTGGGGGGAAGGCCTTTGTTGGGGGGGCAGAACCTCAGTTACCGATGTATTTTTATTTAATTTTATTTATTTGGGGGGACAGCTGCCCCTTCCTGCCCCCCTTGACTACGCCCATGGTTGCACTGATGATACATGGTTGTGATGACAAAACCAGGTGGAAGCACAGTTTACCCTTCCATAAACAAGGTTTTATGAAAGCAAGCGTCTTTCTGACATTTATTCCTATGGCACCTCTTGGCACATATTAGTGCTTAGAGCTGTGTCCTTTTTGTGTATGTGCTGAGTTGCTGTGTTCAAATGTCTATTGATGTTTTATTTCAGTGTGCTGATGCACACGTTTGATTTTGAGTCACTTGAGATAGGGGAATGTGCTAGGAAGCCCTGGGGAACAGTGAAACCTGTGGGATTCCTGAAACAAAGAAATGTGGGGGCGGATGGAGATAGGAGTATGGTGAGTAGTCAGTAGAACAATAATTGCACTTGTTTTACTGGTTTGGGATCTGATCAGAGAGAGGGAGGAGAGAATGAATATGGGAATTCCTGTTTGAATTGCAAACTAGTTGCAACATAGGGTATGGGATAAGAAAGGCAAATCCTGCACCTTTCCAGACAAAAAAAACAATACTCGAAACTATTGTTAAACTATATCCATTTTGTGCAGTATCCATCCTATTACCATTGACTGGAACTGGAGTTAATATGCTTGCAGGAATTATTGCTCCTCCCCCGCTGTAGTAACAATAAAGGGTGGTAGATGTTCACCACTGTGCTAAAGGATAGGACTGCACATGTTTCAAGTGAAAAAAATAATAAAATAAAAGTTTATTTAAATAAAATATTTAAATAGTTTTTCTAGATATTGCAAGAGATCAACACAATATTGCCAAGCAATAGTGTTCACTATCCCTCATGAAGGTGCGCAGAAGCTTTACATATATTAATTAGTGCGATGTATCTGTCCACAGCGCCACCCGCGTCCCTTTACTGACACCTTAATGTGGCAGCTACACATGCCACATGATCTATGTATATCTCAGGCCAAACTAGGCATGATAAATACCAGGGGTAAGTCATTGAGCTCTCTAAGTGTATTTCCACATAAGCCCCATAACACTGAAATGCACTCAGTATACAGTATGTGCTGATCGCCGAAGAATTGATGCTTTTGAATTCTGGTGCTGGAGGAGACTCTTGAGAGTCCCATGGACTGCAAGAAGATCAAACGTATCCGTTCTTAAGGAAATCAGCCCTGAGTGCTCACTGGAAGGACAGATCGTGAAGCTGAGGCTCCAGTACTTTGGCTACCTCATGAGTAGAGAATACTCCCTGGAGAAGACCCTGATGTTGGGAAAGATGGAGGGCACAAGGAGAAGGGGGCGACAGAGGATGAGATGGTGGGACAGTGTTCTCGAAGCTACCAGCATGAGTTTGACTAAACTGCGGGAGGCAGTGGAAGACAGGAGGGCCTGGCATGCTCTGGTCCAGGGGGTCGCGAAGAGGCGGACATGACTAAACAGCTAAACAACAACATGTGTGGAATATATTAGCCATGCCAGCCACCTGCCCCTCCTGTCAGTCATTGGCACAGAGACGCAACACCCAAATGGGCTGATTTGTGGGGTACCCCGGGATGGGAGCCCGTGAGTGGGTGCCCTACGAGGGGGAGAGGGGGAGGCAAAACGAAGCCAGCCTCCCTTGTCCGTTTTACCCTCATAAAAATTTCTGCCCCGTTTTCTGAGGAGCTTCCTGCACAAAGCGGCTTACAGTTTTATTTAAAACAGAAGCGTTGCACAACGCAACAACCACTATAGGCCAGGCGGGTTCGCAAGGGAGGCCCCCCCCCTCCCTCGAAAGCGGGCTCGGGGAGAAGTGGCCAGGGGGCGAGCGCTCCCTTCTCCCGCCCAGCGGCGCCTCCGCCCTCCTCGGAGCTCCCCGAGTGGCGCCTCCTTCGAGCGCGGGGCTGGACTCTCCCGCCCGCTCCGTCTGGCTGTTCTGCTGCTGCCGCCCGACGGGCGGACGGAGGCGCAACGGCGCGAGGAAACGGGCACGGCGCTTCCCAGCGCGCCGCGATGCGGGTGAGAGGCGCGAGGCGAGGCCGTGGGGTGGGAGGGCGGGGAAGTGGGGGGGGGACTGGGGGCGACTGAAGGGCAAATGCAGGAAACAGCCGCCCAAAGTTGCAAGGCAGGAACGGGCGCAGCGAGAGGAGCAGCAGCCGCTGCATCGGATCCACCCTTCCCTTTTTGCGTTGACGGCGGCGGACGCCCATATGTTCGGCTGCTGGATGGCTCATCAGCGGAGTGTCTCAGGATCGGGAGCACCCAGGTCCTTCCCGACAAATTAAAGGACAGTCCGAGACAGGGAGGAAACTTCCTGTTCCTTGGAAATAGACAGGTTAACTTGGAATTAACCCGTTTCCGGATAAGCAGGGTAGGTGCATCAGAGCCATAGCTGTCAACGTTTTCCCTTTTTTAAGGCAAATTCCCTTATTCCGAATAGGATTCCTCGCAAGAAAAGGGAAAAGTTGACAGCTATGGTCAGAGCCCTCAGCCAGGCACACACGAGATCTGATTATTGATGGTGATGATTGAGCAGGAAAGTCGCGTGAATCAGGAGTAGTGGCTGGACTCAAACTCCCATCAGCCATAGCCAACCTAGCCAATAGTCAGGGATTATGGGAGTTGTAGTCCAGCAACATCTGTGGTGCTGCAGGTTGACCACACCTGCTGTAAACAACCTTGCAGATCTGGCTTAACTGAGAAAAATAATTTGCCATTCGCTCTTACTTTACACACAGTGGGTTCAACACCTGTTATTAATTTATGCAAATTAAAGTTTTTTTCTGGTACAGTGAAACCAATCGGAAAGTGCACCTCGGTTGTCAAACATTTTGGAAGCCAAACGGGCTTCCAGAACAGATTACGTTTGACAGCCAAGGTCTGGCTGTACTAATAATTCTGCCTGACAATATAAACAGCTAGGAATACAGACGACTGGGTTTCTGTGTTTTGGCTTATGCAGTAATTCTTACTCGACAGTTTTGGTCCACACAATTACAGGCTGCTCCTTCTGATGTCCCAGCACACACACGCTGGGCACCCACAGTGTAGGGCCTAAGTTGGCGCCACTGCGCTGTTGATTTAAGTTCAGCTTGTGGTCTACTAGGGACACGGGTGGCACTGTGGTCTAAACCACTGAACCTCTTGAGCTTGCCGATCAGAAGGTCGGCGGTTCGGATCCCTGCGATGGGGTGAGCTCCTGTTGCTTGGTCCCTGCTCCTGCCAACCTAGCAGCTCGAAAGCACACCTCCCCAAAAAGTGCAAGTAGATAAATAGGTACTGCTCCGGCGAGAAGGTAAACAGCGTTTCCATGTGCTGCTGTGGTTTTGGTGTTCCATTGCACCAGAAGCGGGTGGCCACATGACCCGGAAAAACTGTCTGTGGACAAACGCTGGCTCCCTCGGCCTGTAAAGCAAGATGAGCACCGCAACCCCAGAGTCGTCTGCAACTGGACTTAACTGTCAGGGGTCCTTTACCTTTACGTGGTCTACTAAGACAAGTCAGGTGTCCTCCATCTTATATTTGTACTGCTGGTTCTTACTGCCTAAGTATAGAACCTTACATTTGTCCCTGCTGAAATTCATGTTGTTGGTTTGGGCCCAGTTTTCCAATCTGTTAAGGTCTTGAATCCTAATTATGTCTTCTGCAGCATTAGACACCCTCCCAGTTTGGTGTCATCTGCAAATTTGATGAGCATCCCCTCAGTTCCTTCATGCAAGTTGTTTATAAAGACAGTGAACAACAACGGGCCCACGACAGAACCCTGCAGTACCCCACTTGTCACTTCCCCCCAAACTACAATTCCCATAATCTCCGGTCATTGGCTGTGCTTGCTGGGGCTGATGAAAGTTGTAGTTTAACAGCATCTGGAGTGCCAAAGTTTCCCCACCCCGGTTGTAGACATCATGAAAGAGGAACTTAGATGTGCAGTTGCTGCTCTGGGCAGCACCCACACAACAAGTGTGGTCAGACTTAGGACTGAGGAGATCCGAGTTCAAATCCCCACTCAGCCATGAAGCTCACTGGGTGCCTTTGGGGCAGTTAGGGGCAGTTAGTATCTCTCAGTCAAATCTATCTCATCAAGTTGTTGTATAGTTAAAATGGGGGACAGAAGATGAGAGAACCATAGGCTAGCCTGAGAAACTTAGATATCAAGGTAATAATACTGTCCAAATGTAAAGTAATGTCTAATTTAACCCTTAATGCAACTTGTGAAAATGCTGTTGGTCTATTCTTGGTCTATATGAATACCTTGCATATTTCTTTGCTTGGCACTGGAGAACGAGACATTAAAAATCGAATATATGATATCTTCTGTAAAAGCTGAGTCACTGAAAAGAAAGATAAGAGTGTGAGAAGCCTCTGTGGGCCAGTGTGGCCTAGTGATTAGAGTCCTAGATTAGAACCTTGGAGACTAGGGTTTAAATCCATACTTGGCCCTGAATTTCACTGGTTGAATCAGCCTCTACCTCATGTGGCTGCTGTGAGCATTAAATAAGGAGGGGAGAACCATATCTCCCCCCTTGATCTCCTTTAAGGAAAGGTGAGATGTGAAGCAAAAAGGAATAAACAAGAGTATTTGTTTAGTCACATTATTTGTATGTCACCTTTCATTGAACAGGAATACCAGAAGAAGAGTCCAAAGGCCAATCTCGCCCAGCAGAGCAGCTAACCAGAGTCCTGTGGGAACTCCATAAGCGGGGCATGAGTGCAGTAGCCCCCTCCATTCATGGATTGTTTTAGAGTAGCAAATTCCTTAGTTTTACTCTGCGCCGTGCACAGGACTTCCTTTCATCCGAACTGAATTTTCCAACGTTCAGCTTCCCTGAATGCTGAGTTATGCCTGCATGGAAGCTGTAACTTCTAACTTGGAAGCCCCACTCCCTAATTTCAGATAGGAAGCTTGTGAGAGATGCATATAGCCTGCCTTTTTTCGGGAGGCCCTCACCGCATGTTCTAGAGCTGATGCTGGAGCTCAAGGCAAGTTTTTAGCATCAAAGCAGAAGATAGGTTAAAGGTGTGAATACATTCAACAGATCTTCGTATTTGAAAATAATGCCGCAAAGGAGCCTGACCAACTTCATGACTGCAGTCTGCGGGGACGGGGGGAATATTTCTCTCTACACCATGATCCTGTTTAAAATTGGCACAGCAGCTGCCCCCTCCAAGAGGAAAACTGCCTCTGTGCCAGTGCCCCCTGGCTCAAACCAGGCCTTGCCTAGGAGGAGTCTGTTGGCATAAGAATCATGAACTAACACGCTGCTGCTTTCTGCTCTTCCGTTTGTGTTGGTCTTTATTTAGTAGCACTCATCTCTATATTTAGATTCGTCCCAGAAGATTCATGAGTGGCCACTATTGTAGGAGTGATTCCCTCGACAGGCTTCCAGCCACTGCCACCTCCTCCATCGGCCTGCTTTTCCGTCTTTCTCTGATTCACTTTTATCTTGCACAGAATCCGTCTGTAGAAGGAACCTGACTGGATTCCCAAGGATGGAGCCCTCCTGCTTTATGCGCTTCTTGCCGCTCTTGTTGCTGTGCCCAGCAGGAGCCCCCTTCCGGATCTGTGCCTTCAACACTCAGCGCTTTGCCCAAGGGAAGGCAAGCAAGGCCAACGTCATGGACACACTTGTCAAGGTGGGGACTTCAAGGCAACCCCCGACGGGATGCATGTCGCTTCTGTGGGTTGAATTCCTTCTTTAGACAGGATTTGCTCACATGAACAACGTGTCTTAACAAGTTTTAATGGGTGTGGAAGGAGTAGGAAGGACAGGGTAGGAAGAGAAGCCACTAAAGTGAGGTGTAGGGGTGGATCTGCTATGAAACCAATGAAGCTTAAGCTTCAGAGCACCTAATTCCACAGGAGCCCCAGCAGTTGAAGAAGGAGCAAAAAGGGTTTCCTTGTGTGTGTCTTTGTGGCTGATTAGCTGTTCTCCCTGTGCAAAGGTCAGAGGGGGCAGGGTTTCTGTTGAGGCAGGTGATTAGCTGTGGGAGGAGCTTATCAGAGCTAGCAGGGCAGCAGTTGAAGAAGGAGCAAAAAGGGTTTTCCTGTGTGAGTTTCTTGTGGCTGTTTAGCTGCTCTCTCTGGGCAAAGGTCAGAGGGGGCAGGGCTTCTGTTGAGGTAGGTGATTAGCTGTGGGAGGAGCTTATCAGAGCTAGCAGGACAGCAGTTGAAGAAGGAGCAAAAAGGGTTTTCTTGTGTGTGTCTTTGTGGCTGATTAGCTGTTCTCCCTGTGCAAAGGTCAGAGGGGGCAGGGTTTCTGTTGAGGCAGGTGATTAGCTGTGGGAGGAGCTTATCAGAGCTAGCAGGGCAGCAGTTGAAGAAGGAGCAAAAAGGGTTTCCTTGTGTGTGTCTTTGTGGCTGATTAGCTGTTCTCCCTGTGCAAAGGTCAGAGGGGGCAGGGTTTCTGTTGAGGCAGGTGATTAGCTGTGGGAGGAGCTTATCAGAGCTAGCAGGGCAGCAGTTGAAGAAGGAGCAAAAAGGGTTTTCCTGTGTGAGTTTCTTGTGGCTGTTTAGCTGCTCTCTCTGGGCAAAGGTCAGAGGGGGCAGGGCTTCTGTTGAGGTAGGTGATTAGCTGTGGGAGGAGCTTAACAGAGCTTTAGGGCAGCAGCTGAAGAAGGAACAAAAAGGGTTTTCCTGTGTGAGTTTCTTGTGGCTGTTTAGCTGCTCTCTCTGGGCAAAGGTCAGAGGGGGCAGGGCTTCTGTTGAGGTAGGTGATTAGCTGTGGGAGGAGCTTATCAGAGCTAGCAGGACAGCAGTTGAAGAAGGAGCAAAAAGGGTTTTCTTGTGTGTGTCTTTGTGGCTGATTAGCTGTTCTCCCTGTGCAAAGGTCAGAGGGGGCAGGGCTTCTGTTGAGGTAGGTGATTAGCTGTGGGAGGAGCTTATCAGAGCTAGCAGGGCAGCAGTTGAAGAAGGAGCAAAAAGGGTTTCCTTGTGTGTGTCTTTGTGGCTGATTAGCTGTTCTCCCTGTGCAAAGGTCAGAGGGGGCAGGGTTTCTGTTGAGGCAGGTGATTAGCTGTGGGAGGAGCTTATCAGAGCTAGCAGGGCAGCAGTTGAAGAAGGAGCAAAAAGGGTTTCCTTGTGTGTGTCTTTGTGGCTGATTAGCTGTTCTCCCTGTGCAAAGGTCAGAGGGGGCAGGGTTTCTGTTGAGGCAGGTGATTAGCTGTGGGAGGAGCTTATCAGAGCTAGCAGGGCAGCGGCGCGCGCCTAGCGGCGCGCGCAGTTTGATCCATCTTTTAGATTTAGGGGAGCTAGTCTCAAACGTTTGTTGGGGGAGACCTAGGGTTTTTTTGTGTGTGTGGGGAGTTATTTGTCCTGTCTTCACACTTTTTATGATGGAGGACCGCTGTAGCCACCCCCAACGACACGTACTCAAGATGGAGGAGGAGGGAACAGCTGCAGTCGCCTGCGGTTCCTGCGCAATGTTTGCCATCTTGCCAAAGATTGCAGGCAGCTTTACCTGCAGCAATTGCATGTTGATTGCTCTCTTAAAAGACAAAGTCCAGCAACTGGAGGAACGTGTAGCTACGCTCCAAAGAATTAGAGAGCTGGAGCTCTTCTTGGAAGCAACAGAGCACACCGTCTCCACCAAGGAGGAGACAGGGGACTCCCCTGTGAAGGAGGCTAGCTCACCAACACAGGAGCCAGATATATGGAGAAACGTGACTCAAAGAAGTAGGAGGCCCAGGGTTCGCTCTGATTGTTTAGAAATACGCAATCGCTTTGAGGTCCTCTCCCCTAGCATGGAAGACGAAGAGCACACTCCATTTGAGGATCTCTCCCTCATTACAGTCGATCAGGTATATGAAGACGACCAGCAAAGTCAGTCCTCAGGGAATGTGCAGGCGACCTTGGAACGGACAGCTCACGGAAGAACCCCGACCAAACCTAAGAGGAGGCGTGTAGTGGTGATAGGGGATTCCCTACTGAGGGGAACAGAAGCAGTGATCTGTGGGCCTGACAAGATGTCTCGGGAAGTGTGCTGTCTCCCCGGGGCTAAGATCCAAGATGTAACTGAACGACTGCAAGGAATCATAAAACCCACTGACAAATACCCCTTCCTCTTGGTTCATGTGGGAACCAATGACACTGCAAGCAATAGCCTCCAGAAGATCAAAAGAGACTACGAGGCTCTCGGCAGGAAATTGAAGCAACTAAATGCACAAATTGTCATCTCATCTGTCCTCCCAGTTGAACGACGTGGCCCAGGGAGAGAGGGAAAAATAGTGGAAGTGAACAGCTGGCTTCGCAAATGGTGTAAACAGGAACGGTTTGGATTCTTAGATCACGGACTGCAGTTTCTTGAAGATGGACTTCTGGCAAGCGATGGGCTGCACCTCACAACGGTTGGGAGGAATGTTTTTGCCAAAAATCTCAGAAACCTCATCAGGAGGGCTTTAAACTGACTAATGTGGGGGAGGGAGACAATGCTCCTGAAGGTAGGAGTCTATCAATTGATGAAGATGATCATCCAAATGTCATAGACCAAATGGAGCAAACAGCATGCAGACCTAGTGGTGGGAGGAAAAAATCCTTAAATAAGAGACACGGGGGAATGATTAATGGACTTCAATGTCTGTACACTAATGCGCAAAGCATGGGAAATAAACAAGATGAGCTTGAGCTCTTGGTACAGCAAACTAAATATGACATAATAGGCATCACTGAAACCTGGTGGGATAAGTCCCATGATTGGAATGTAATAATGGAGGGATACAATCTATTTAAGAGAAACAGACCAGACAAGAAAGGGGGAGGAGTGGCGTTATATGTCAGGGATGTGTATACCTGTGAAGAGATCCAAGATTTAGAACCTCAAAGCCAAAGTGAGAGCATTTGGGTCAAAATTAAGGGAGAGAAGAATAACAGAGACCTCATTGTGGGAGTTTACTATAGATCCCCAAGCCAAACGGAGGACATAGATGATGCCTTCCTGGAACAGATGGCCAAGCATGCAAAAGGAAGGGAGATAGTAGTAATGGGGGACTTCAATTACCCGGATATTTGTTGGATGTCAAACTCAGCCAAGAGCATAAGGTCAAACAGATTCCTCACTGGCCTTGCAGACAACTTCATTGTCCAGAAAGTGGGAGAAGCAACAAGAGGAACAGCCATTTTAGATCTCGTCCTAACCAATGTTGATGACCTGGTTAGTGGGGTAGAAGTGGAAGGATCATTAGGCGCGAGTGATCATGCTCTTCTGAAGTTTACTATACAGCGGAAAGGAGCAGCCAAGCATACTAGGACTCAATTTCTTGACTTTAAGAAAGCCGACTTCATAAAACTTAGGGAAGTGCTGGGTGAAATCCCATGGACAGTAATACTAAAAGGAAAGGGAGTTCATGATGGCTGGGAGTTTGTTAAGAGGGAGATAGTAAAAGCACAACGTCAGGCAATACCAATGAGACGGAAACATGGAAGGTGCCTAAAGAAGCCAGGGTGGCTATCTAAAGAACTTTTAACTGAGTTAAGATTAAAAAAGGATGTGTACAAAAAATGGAAAAGGGGGGAAACCACCAAAGAGGAATTCAAACAAATAGCCAGCACGTGTAGACACAAAGTCAGGAAAGCTAAAGCACAGAATGAACTCAGGCTTGCTAGAGAGGTTAAAAGCAACAAAAAAGGCTTTTATGGGTATGTCCGTAGCAAAAGGAAGAACAAAGAAACAGTGGGGTCACTCAGAGGAGAAGATGGTGAAATGCAAACAGGGGACACAGAAAGGGCTGAACTCCTCAATGCCTTCTTTGCCTCAGTCTTCTCCGATAAAGAAAACAATGCCCAACCTGAAGAATTTGGAGCAAATGATTCAGCAAAGGAAACACAGCCCAGAATAACTAAGGAGATAGTACAAGAATACTTGGCTAGTTTAGATGTATTCAAGTCTCCAGGGCCAGATGAACTGCATCCAAGAGTATTAAAAGAACTGGCAGATGTGATCTCAGAACCACTGGCAGTCATCTTTGAGAATTCCTGGAGAACAGGCGAAGTCCCGGCAGATTGGAGGAGGGCAAATGTTGTCCCTATTTTCAAAAAGGGGAAAAGAGAGGACCCAAATAATTACCGCCCAGTCAGTCTGACATCAATACCAGGGAAGATTCTGGAGCAGATCATTAAGCAAACAGTCTGTGAGCACCTAGAAAGGAATGCTGTGATCACCAATAGTCAGCATGGATTTCTGAAAAATAAGTCATGTCAGACTAACCTGATCTCGTTTTTTGACAGAATTACAAGCCTGGTAGATGAAGGGAACGCAGTGGATGTAGCCTACCTTGATTTCAGCAAGGCATTTGACAAGGTGCCCCATGATATTCTTGTAAAGAAGCTGGTAAAATGCGGTCTTGACTATGCTACCACTCAGTGGATTTGTAACTGGCTGACTGACAGAACCCAAAGGGTGCTCATCAATGGTTCCTCTTCATCCTGGAGAAGAGTAACTAGTGGGGTGCCACAGGGTTCTGTCTTGGGCCCGGTCTTATTCAACATCTTTATCAACGACTTGGATGATGGACTCAAGGGCATCCTGATCAAATTTGCAGATGACACCAAACTGGGAGGGGTGGCTAACACCCCAGAGGACAGGATCACACTTCAAAATGACCTTGACAGGTTAGAGAACTGGGCAAAAACAAACAAGATGAATTTTAACAGGGAGAAATGTAAAGTATTGCACTTGGGCAAAAAAAATGAGAGGCACAAATACAAAATGGGGGACACCTGGCTTGAGAGCAGTACATGTGAAAAGGATCTAGGAGTCTTGGTTGACCACAAACTTGACATGAGCCAACAGTGTGACGCGGCAGCTAAAAAAGCCAATGCAATTCTAGGCTGCATCAATAGGAGTATAGCATCTAGATCAAGGGAAGTAATAGTGCCACTGTATTCTGCTCTGGTCAGACCTCACCTGGAGTACTGTGTCCAGTTCTGGGCACCACAATTCAAGAAGGACACTGACAAACTGGAACGTGTCCAGAGGAGGGCAACCAAAATGATCAAAGGCCTGGAAACGATGCCTTATGAGGAACGGCTAAGGGAGCTGGGCATGTTTAGCCTGGAGAAGAGGAGGTTAAGGGGTGATATGATAGCCATGTTCAAATATATAAAGGGATGTCACATAGAGGAGGGAGAAAGGTTGTTTTCTGCTGCTCCAGAGAAGCGGACACGGAGCAATGGATCCAAACTACAAGAAAGAAGATTCCACCTAAACATTAGGAAGAACTTCCTGACAGTAAGAGCTGTTCGACAGTGGAATTTGCTGCCAAGGAGTGTGGTGGAGTCTCCTTCTTTGGAGGTCTTTAAGCAGAGGCTTGACAACCATATGTCAGGAGTGCTCTGATGGTGTTTCCTGCTTGGCAGGGGGTTGGACTCGATGGCCCTTGTGGTCTCTTCCAACTCTATGATTCTATGATTCTATGATTCTATGATTCTAAGTGACTTTAGTCTACATTGCTTTAAAAAATTGGGTCCAGTAGATCCAATTTGAGTTGCATGACTCAAATTGATTAATTTTTTGTTGTATATATTTTGATAATCCCAAAGTTTTTGAGTAAAGCTGTTGTACAGGTGTGGCAATCTGTTGTGGAACAACCCCATTGAAGAAAATAACAGTGGTTGGTTACCCAGACCTTTTTGCTGGTTGCGAATGGGCCCCCACGGCAGTTCAAGTTTCAGGGCTCCCAAAACATAGGTCCGTCACTGGTTAGGAGCTCCAGGGGAGAGCCAAAGTTCAGTAAGAACACATGCTTTGCAGGCAGAAGGTTCACCTTTAAATGTGAACTGAATCAGAATTCTCTCCCATTCCCTAGGTATAGCCCAGACACAGATTTACCACCTTGTTTAGGACTAACATGTTGGAGTCCAACAACATTTGGGCTGTCTACCCCTGATATACAAGCTAATGTGTCTCTGTTCCCTCCCACAGATCCTCTCTCGTTGTGATATTGCTGTCCTACAAGAGGTGATGGATGCAAAGGGAAAAGCAGTTCCTGCCTTGGTGGCTGCCCTGAATCGGTGAGTGTGAGTAATATGGGAGAAATGCAACCAGAGGGAGAGGAATCCATGAAGAGATAGTGGAGGAGACGACAACAGGGCCTTTGGGGAAAAAAATGGGAGGAAAGCTGGACAGTTGCATGATGGGAGCAGAGCTGGCCCAGATATTTTGGTGCTTGAGGTGGAAAAACCCTTCCCCCTAAATTGTGTTGGGCATAATTCCCCAGGCTGTTCTGCATGAGTCTCACAAGAATGAGAGTGAGATCTGTGCAAGATTACCAATACCATTTATTTCAATGAGGCTTGTGCAGGAAAATTGCCAGTGTGCTGTGCTTTGTCTCATGGCAGGACTGTGTCAGAATGGGGAGGAATGTAGGATATGGTGATGGTGTGTGTGTGTGGGTGTTTGTACACACTAACCCCCAGAGCCAGGCAGTAAACAGAATACAGTGGTACCTCTGGTTACGAACTTAATTTGTTCCAGAGGTCCGTTCTTAACCTGAGGTACCACTTTAGCTAATAGGGCCTCCTGCTGCCGCCCCGCTGCTGGTGCACGATTTCTGTTCTCTTCCTGAGGTAAAGTTCTTAACCCGAGGTACTACTCATAGGCGCCGACTCCATGGGGCTTGAGGGGGCCCGAGCCCCCTCAAAAATGCGTTTGGGGGGGCTCCGCCCCCCCAATAATCTCCGGCGCCCCTCCAGCAGAGCGCCATCGCCGCCCCTCCCCCAGCCCAAAATGCACAGGGAGGGGCGGGCTGCATGCCTCCTGCCCTCCCTCCCGAGCAAAAGCTCCACCCAATTTCCTTTGGAGCTGATTAATAGGCGCAGCACGCTCTCCCCTATTCGCTCACGAGGAGGCGGCGCCACTTTATTTGCATATTCATGAGCTTATTTATTATTCATGAGCTTTCCCGGGCCCCCCCAATATTTTTTATAAGTCCGCGTCCCTGGTACTACTTCTGGGTTAGCAGAGTCTGTAACCCGAAGTGTTTGTAACCCGACATACCACTGTACCAGCTAAGGAGCCCCACTGGGTTCATAGCTCTGAGGCTCATGCTGGTAGTCAGGGAAACTACTGAACCCAAGGCCAGCCAGCAGGAGCTCATTGAACCTGATGCACAGCACCAGGGCACATAAAACCAGCACCAGGGCTCTCACAGGTGCCTTCCTGTGGGCCCAAAAAACAGAGTGCCTCGCACAGTACCTCACCAGTCCACAGCCCAGGGAATGCATCAGGTGGGAAGCTATGGAACATGGGAGCGTGCTTGTCTTCAGAGGGGGGGATTGTCCCTTTAAGAGGCTCTTCTTTTCCATAAGGGGACAGAGCATAGGAGAGATGGACTAGACAGAAGAAGAGCTCAGTTCACTTCCAACCTTTGTTGGAACAAGTTGCTACCTAGAAGCTCTCCTTGGTGCTGTCCTCCTCCAAACTATGATGTGGTGAGAATAGTAAGGGCCCACCTTTACTCATGGAAGGCAAGGCTATCAGCAGTTACAAGCCATGGTAGCTATGTTCTTCGTCCATGGTTGGAGGCAGCAGTTTTTTCCCTGAATACCAGTTCTGGAAGCCACAGGTCCTGCTTCTGGACTTCCCATAGGCATCTGGTTGGTCATTGTGGGAAAAGGATGCTAGACTAGATGGGCCTTTGACCTGATTCAGCTTGGCTCTTGTGCTCTCCCCTTCCAGTAGCTCCTGGAGTATCAAGGGACTGAGGTCCAAGAGTTGACACATACCTTAGGTGGGAGCAGAGGAGCAAGTCACACAGGCTAGTGGTTCTCCACAGCAGCACAGTGACCATACTGAGGGAGGGCACTGGATCTGGGAGCTTTATTGTTCTCCTGAATCACCCTACTCCCAGCACCAAGAGGATTCTGGGCTGTAATGATGGTGTCCTGGCCTGAACTGCCTGATGCTCCCTCCTCTGACCTAGCTGGTGCAGGAAGCGAGTGTCTGACTTGCAAAACTACCACATTGCCTTATAGTAGGGCTGGAGAACCTGTGGCCCTCCAGATGTTGTTGGAATTAACTCCCATCAGCCCCAGCCAACAAAGGCCAATGATCAGGGATGGTAGTTGTAGTTCAGTAGCTAGAGGAATACAGGTTTTCCATTCCGACTTTACAGTGAGACTTTTTCTCTATTTATCCACTCACTGGCTGAAGTGCTTTTTATATATCCACATATATTTTCAATAAGGGATGTGGGTGGTGCTGTGGGTAAAAGCCTCAGCGTCTAGGGCTTGCCGATTGAAAGGTCGGCTGTTCGAATCCCCGTGGCGGGGTGCGCTCCCGTTGTTCGGTCCCAGTGCCTGCCAACCTAGCAGTTTGGAAGCACCCCCGGGTGCAAGTAGATAAATAGGGTCCGCTTACTAGCGGGAAGGTAAACGGCGTTTCCGTGTGCGGCTCTGGCTCGCCAGAGCAGCGATGTCACGCTAGCCACGTGACCCGGAAGTGTCTCCGGACAGCGCTGGCCCCCGGCCTATAGAGTGAGATGGGCGCACAACCCTAGAGTCTGTCAAGACTGGCCCGTACGGGCAGGGGTACCTTTAGCTTTACTATATTTTCAATGCAACTGAATTCTCTTTTCCTGTCAGGTATCATAGTTCTAGTCCCTATACCTACCTCACCAGCCCTCTGCTGGGCCGGAACAACTACCAAGAACGCTATGTATTCATATACAGGTGAGTGTCATGAGTGTGAGTGTGCATTTAGATGATGATGGTGATGAATTAACGTTTATATAGTGATTTTAGTACATATTATAGAGCTTTTAACTACATTATCTCAGATATCCTTTACAATGCTGTAAGATTTGGAGAAAATAATACTAACCTATCACAAATGGGAGATTGGAGGCTGATAGAATAGAAGCTTGGGGTATGTCACACTTTTAAATTGTGTCTTACTCCCCATCTTCAGAGGCTGAGGCTGTGGGTTCGGAGGAGACACCAGACTGCCCTGGGAGCTCTGGCACAAGAGGAGCCTGTTTTTGCCAGCACCTTTCTAGCACTTATTGCCTTGTTCTACCTTGACTTACCGTACCTTCCTTTGCTTTGCCAGAGCCTGGACTTTGCTTTATCTCCCCTTGCTTTGCTTGACTCTGTGCTGCCTTGGCCGAACCCTGGACTTTACCCTGCTCTGCTGGACCTTCAACTCTTGTCCTGCTTCTGCCAGAACTTTCATGCTGCTGTGGCCATCACTTGGAACAGAACCAGGTTATTTGAGGGAGGGCCTTCTCCTGTACAAACCATCCAGGTCACTGTGGTCTGTAGATGGGGCTTTCATGACTGTGCCACATTTTTAAAATGCAGAAATAATGAGACCCTTTTATTGCAAGAAAAAAGCAATTGTTGGTGCCCAACATAGGATGTGCTATTTACCTTGGTGAGGGCTCTGCATCAATTTCCTGCCCCACATATTGTCCTTAATTGTAATCCCCACAGATGCAAGGAGTCAAGTTACTCTCTTAGCAAATATCCACCACTTATTTCACCCTTATTCGCTAGAATAATGTGAAATAAATTATTCCTTTTGTTGCTCACACAGCGCTGTCTCTGTAGGTACAATCTAGCCTTCAGCTTCACCCTGGGTGCTTCCAAACTGTTGTTGTGTAGGACTCAATCGCATATTGGCCACTTCAGGTTGCACAATTGCAGTTGATTGGAAAGTGTTGTACAACAAACCCACATCCCTAAAAGATTTGACTCTTTATGATCAGAAAACTGATACGGAAATGTACTGGAAAGTGTGCTTTAAACACAATGTCATCTAATCTCCCTGTAAACAAATCAGCCTTAATTAAAATGCCATTTGGAAGCAGCCCATGTGTTTTCCCTGCTGTAAGCCTGTGATGGGAGCCTTGCCAGGGAGTAATAATAATAATTACTACTACTACTACTAATATTTATATGAATACCTACTGAGACAATCCACAAAAAGCAGTTGTATCATAATGAATTACTGTTGAAACAAGAAATATTTTGGGGGGAGGGTGCCAAATTTTGTCCTCGCTCAGAGCACCACATTAAAGTCCGCCCCTGCATACTTTCACCTCTTCTCTGGGGCCAGAGTTATTTCTGTATTCTCCCCTCCCCTAGGGAACAGAAGACTCGGATGCTGGACTTCTACTCCTACGAAGACAGACATCCAGACCGGCCTGATGTCTTCGCTCGCGAGCCCTTCATCGTCCGCGTCAGCATTCCAAACAAAAGTAAGGGGCCCAAGACATCTCAGGAGTTCTCTTTCTTCATGGGGGAGAATGGGGGGGTTGAACTTCCAGAGGGTGATATCTGGGTTTGATATCCATTTTGTTTTATGGAAAGTAGAAGGGTTGGATGCTATTCTGGAGGAAGGGTTTTGCATGTGGGTTAAACCACAGAGCCTAGGGCTTGCTGATCAGAAGGTCGGCGGTTCGAATCCCCGCGACTGGGTGAGCTCCCTTCGCTTGGTCCCTGCTCCTGCCAACCTAGCAGTTCAAAAGCACATCAAAGTGCAAGTAGATAAATAGGTACTGCTCTGGCGGGAAGGTAAACGGCGTTTCCGTGCGCTGCTCTGGTTCGCCAGAAGCCGCTTAGTCACACCAGCTCCCTCGGCCAGTAAAGCGAGATGAGCGCCGCAACCTCAGTCGGTCACAACTGGACCTAATGGTCACGGGTCCCTTTACCCTTTACCTATAAAGCTGATTAGGTGCAGAATCAGAAGTCTTTCCTCTTATTCCTCTTCCTCTTCCTCTTCTTCTTCCTCTTCTTTCTTTTTTCTTTATTTAATCTCTTTTAGTTTTTAATATTAAAAATGGTTGGTATTTGATGTTAACTTTGGTGTATTATTTTTTCTCTTTTTTCCAAGGACTAATAAAAAAAACATTATAATAAAATAATAAAAAAGAGGGCTGAGAGTTATTAGGAGACTCCTATTCCCCTTACAGAGCTACAGTTTCCAGAGTTCTCTGGAAAGAAGGATTGACTGTTAAACAACTCTGAGAATTGTAGCTCTGCGAGGATATTGGGGGAGTGGTCTCCTCTCAGCACCCTTAGCAGACTATAGTTCCCAGGATGATTGGGGGGGGGTGTTGAAAGCCATGACTATTTAAAGTGGCATGATACTGCTTTAAACCTATAGTGTAGATGCAGTCTAAGAGACCACCTGCTTTCCTCCTGCATTTTCTCAGATCATCCAAGCAAACATCTGTTGACAATAGCATTCATACAGCATGACTAGTTTGGACATAATAGAAAACCATGGGTTTTTGTTATGTGAACAAGCTGCAACAAACCTTGTTTTTGCGTATTCCACATTCTGCTTTATCATATGCTAGAGTATCCAGACAAACCATAGTTCCTGTGATGTATGAACTCAGGGAAATGTGATTTGCTCAAATTATGTTTAGTGAGAACAAGCCAGGATCAAAATGGTGGTTTCAGATCTTGTTTTGTTTTCAAACCGTAGGGGCTATATTGAGCTGGAATTCCAAGTTGCCTAGATTACTCTGTACCTTTTTCTCCATTTCCATTCTTGAGAACTCAAGGAGCTGGTGTTGATCCCACAGCACACAATGCCCAAGGCAGCTGAAACTGAAATAGATGCTCTCTATGATGTTTTCCTGAGTGTGAAGGAACGCTGGGGCACAGAGGTAAGGGATGGGGACTTGCAAGGGAGCTGAGGTTTACGAGAATGGCAGGGGATTTGCTGCCTCACCGTGCATCTACATGGGAAATTTTTCTGCTGCTTCACTGCTGCAGCCACTACTGACCATGCCCAGCCATTGTAATGTTTGCAATCTTGTTGACCATTGGTAGATATCATGGACTGGCCGGAAGCAGAGGAGTCATGGGAAGCACCAGCTGGGGAACCCCAAGGGGAAGAAGGCTCAGAGCCAGGGGAGTGGTTCTGGGATGGCGATGAGTGGTCAGAGGGAGCAGTCTGGGAGGAGGTGTCAGAAGCTGAAGAGGTCACAGGGTTTAGTGAGCAGGAAGAGGCTGTGGCAGAGAGCAGTCCAAAATCAGAGGTATAAGTGGAAGTTGGGGAGGGGGGAGAGGCAGAGTTCAGGCAGGCTGCTGAAGAAGCCATGGAGTTTCCCCCTCAAACTACAACCAGCCCCCCTTTCCCCTGGTCTCCCAGAAAGCAAAAAGGGCAGAGCAAAGACAGACAAGGCAAAAAAGTCTCAGATTGCTTGGGAAGGACCAGGGTGTGAGAGAGAGAGACTTAGAGGGCAGTGGGAAGGCAGGGATCTTCAGTCCTCACAACTGCCCCATTGGGGCAAGACCTAGTTGGAAGAATTGCTGTGCTCATTAGGCCTGAGCTGTTTTGTTTCTTTGAATAAAGAGTTAACTTCACTGACACCTTGTAAGTTATTGCTGACTGGCAAACGGCTTCCACCTTGACAGTAGATTCTGCCATATTGGAAATATGTCTGGATGAAGCCTGTGATGCCACCACAACCAATACAGCTTGCATCTCAGACAGAGCACAAGGCAAGATGTTGAGCCAAGTATATGAGATAGCACATATTGGAGAAGCTGGTCCTTTAGGTAACCAGGCCCCAGGCGGTTAGGTTTCCTGTCCTGCTCCTTGACATAAAAAGTTCCTCTCCCCTAATCTGAAGGACAAACACCATCTCTGCTTGAGAACCTGGCAACTGCTTATTTTCCAACCAGCATCTCTTTTCTGCTCTCACTAATCCCGTTGCTCACTTAACGAATCTTGGCCAGCTGATTTTTTCTCTTTCTTATTCCTCCCCAGGATATGATTTTCTTGGGTGATTTCAATGCTGACTGTGGCTATGTGGCAAAGAAACGCTGGGGACAAATCCGCCTACGCCAAGACCCTGGCTTTCATTGGCTCATCGGTGACAATGCTGACACCACCGTTCGGGACACAACCCACTGTGCCTATGACAGGTGAGATCCTGGAACCAGCCTTGCTGGTCAGGGGATGAATTGCATGCTCCACTCTACTCTAACCCATGCCTCACTCTTCCTTACACCTAAACAGGATTGTGGTCCATGGAGAACGCTGCCTGGCTGCTGTGGTGCCTGGATCTGCTCAGCCCTTCAACTTTGCCAAAGAATTTGGGCTCTCAGAAGCAGAGGTACTTGGAAATTCCTGTTGGGAGGGGGAAATTGCTTGCTGATAAACACATAGTACGGTATGTTTCCGCATGCACTGGGCCGGTGACATGTTGGGACAGCCCCATCGTCATCATGGCAGCCATGAAGTCCTGAGCCAGTTGCTTTGGCATGAATGTTGAAGTCCCACAGAACCAGCAGCACTGCCTCTGAGACCAGCTCTGTCAATTCAGGCAGGGAGACTGCTGGGCGGTGAGGTGGGCAGTAAACCAGCAGAATCCCTAATCTGTCCTGATTTCCCAGTGCCAGGATCCCCCCAACTCGACAGAAAGCCTGGAGAGAGAGATGAAATCTCTATAGACCACAGCAGCTCCCCTCCCTGACCCTCAAGTCTGCCCTGATGTTGCACCACGTACCCAGGTTGGCATAGCTGGGTGAGACCAACTCCACCCTGCACACCCACCCAGGTCTCAGTGATACAGAGCAGGTTGGCCTCTGCCTCTGCCGTGTGCCCCTTACCTGCCCTGTCCCCGTCCCCCCCGAGCCACTGTGATTGGGGTCACCTCTGCCTCCCCCAGCTCCTCTTTACCCAGAACACATTCTACATTCCTTATTTTAAAACAACAAAAACCCCAAATTTCAAAACACATGTTAGTAGCAGTTAAAACAATTTAAAACATTTTAAACAATTAAGGCAATAATAACAGCAGTGCAAACCCCCAACAAATGCCCCTAACAATATCCGAACCCAAGAGTCTGTTCAGCCCCCTCAGCTTTGCTGCTGGAGTCAGTCAGTGGAAAAGCCCTGCAAGGCAGGGAGTAGGTCTTCCAGGACTGACAGCCGAGGTGGTTGATGCTTCTTGCTTACCTGGAATGGAGGGAGTGTGATTGCATGTAGAAACTCTCCTAAAGTACAAAAAGTTACATTATTCATTCTTGCATTTCCCCCTACCTTTTCCTCCAAGGAGTTCAAGGGGGCATATACAGTTCTCCCTCTCAACCCCCACAACATCCCTGTGAGGTCGGTTAGGCTAAGAGGCAGCGATTGACCCAAGGTCACCCAGTGAGCTTCATGGCCAAGTGGGGATTTGAACCCTGGTCTCACAGGTCCTAGTCCGACCCTCTAACCACTACACCATACTAGCGCTCAGTTGCTCCTCTCACTCCTGCTACTGTCCCCACCCACCAGCCCTCAAGCTGAAGAAGGTTCCCCACTCCTGATATAGAGGGTTACAGGGTTGCCCATGCCTGCATTAAAGCACTGGAATCTGCTATGGAAAGGAACCCTTTTTTTGTACAGGGAATAGAAACCAGATCTCTTGTTGCCCAGCTCCTCATTTTCTCTTTACCTGCTGTTTCAGGCTTTGGAGATCAGCGACCATTATCCTGTAGAGGTGGAACTGAACAGAGCCCATTGGAGATGCCAGCAAGCCAGTCCAGCTGGCCTTGTGTTGCTGGCCTTAGTCATGCTGGCTGGCCCAGGATATGGCATCTAAAGCTGTTCTGATACCAGGGGTCCAAATGCTGGTGGCTGCCTTGACTCTACAGTGACAGAAGTGTAGAACTGCCAAGAGGATTCCCTTTTTTTACACGAGAATGGATGGCTTGCCTGTGGTCACCCATGGAGTGAGTTTTGATGTGGGCCTTTCACAGTTCACACTTGATCAGCCAGCATATTATGTTTTTGTTGCCCCTGCAGTCCAGTACAAGCAGATTTCAAACACTGAAGGAAGCAATATATTGATGCAGTTGGAGCCCCCTCTGCAGCAGAAGGGAACGTGGATCTTTCAGCACAACTGGACCACTTATAGGAAGGTGAATTCTGTCTGGCAACTGCACCAAAGAAGATTTGCATGGATTTTCAGGCACCCTCATTCTCTTGCAGAGTCCAGGCTTCCCAGGACCAGATCTGGGTACTGTTTCAGGCTGCTTCGGAAATTTGCAAAAAGGGAATCAGCTGGCTGCTGATGAAAGTTTGTGTCACTGCTCAGTTACAATCAAAGAGTTGGGATGGGCCTTGAAAAGGGCCAACGAATCATCTGACCTTTTGCCAGAAGGACCTATCCACACACAGTACAGACATGGGACTGTACCATTCTGGACTACAGGTGGGGTTCATTGAAACTGAATGCTGCTCCGTGTCAAAAACTGTCTCTCTGTGAAAAGCTGGCATATCAGAGAGAAGGAGGCCCCATCTGCACCATTTAAAGGAGGATCACGGCACCTTAACCAGCCATGGTTTCCCCCGAAGCATCCTAAGGAGAGTGGCAAGTGAAGGGTGTTGAGAGTTGCTAGGAAGCCCCTGTTCCTCTCACAGAGCTACAATTCCCAGAGTTCCCTGGGCAGAGGGATTGACTGTTAAACTAGTCTGAAAATTGTAGCTCTGGAAGGAGAATGGGGGTTGCTCCTTGTACTTCTCAGCACCCTTAAGAAACTAGAGCTCCCAGGATTGTTTGGGGAGCCATGGTTGTTTCAAGTGGCATGATACTACTCTAAATGGGTGGTGCAGCCAGAGCCAGATGCTGCTATCATTCTCCCAGTTGTGTTACTTCCCAGGGTGCAGGGAGGGTTTTTTTTATAGGAGGTGGAGCCTACCGGCATTTTGAAGTAGCACAGTCCCAATAAAGCTCCACAGAGGACTTTTTCCACATGAGTAAATCTCGAGACGTCACCTTGCCAACAAAGGTCCGTATAGTTAAAGCCATGGTTTTCCCAGTAGTGATGTATGGAAGTGAGAGCTGGACCATAAAGAAGGCTGATCACCGAAGAATGGATGCTTTTGAATTATGGTGCTGGAGAAGACTCTTGAGAGTCCCATGGACTGCAAGAAGATCAAATGCATCCATTCTGAAGGAAATCAGCCCTGAGTGCTCACTGGAAGGACAGATCGTGAAGCTGAGGCTCCAATACTTTGGCCACCTCATGAGAAGAGAAGACTCCCTGGAAAAGACCCTGATACTGGGAAAGATGGAGGGCACAAGGAGAAGGGGGCGACAGAGGACGAGATGGTTGGATAGTGTTTTCGAGGTTACCAGCATGAGTTTGACCAAACTGCGGGAGGCAGTGGAAGACAGAGGTGCCTGGCGTGCTCTGGTCCATGGGGTCACGAAGAGGCGGACACGACTAAACGACTAAACAACAACAACAACAACAAATCTCAGTACTCAACCTAAAAAAAAGCCTTCCAAGCAGAGGCATATGAAGGGGGGGCAGTGGGGGCAGACCGCCCCAGGTGCCCTCACTGAGGGGGGTGACATTCGGTGTGCTCACGACTCCCAAGCCTATCCCAAGCAGTTGGGGTAAGGGGGAGCTGCGCCGTTTTTCGGGGGGCATTCCCCCCTTCCCCCTTCGTTTTGACAGCTTGGGGGAGGTTTGGGAGTCACCGGCGGGCAGCGTGCTGAATGTCCGCCATGGACAGCTTGCTCCACCCCCATGAGCGGCTTGCTCCGTGCAGGGCACACATGCTGCCCGCGTCATGCCCCCCTTGGGAGTGCAGCTGCCCTGGGCAGTGTGGGCATATGCTGTGCCACTGCTTCCAAGCCAAAAAACATACAGCAGAACTTCACCACCTTTCTAATCCTCCTCCTACTGCTGAAGTGCTCTTTAGGAAGAACTATTAATGAAGTGCAGCCGAGATCTACCTCTCAGTCGCCTAAATAATTTGCCTCTTGTACTTCTTCCTCACCCACAATTGATAGGGTGCTCTATCAGCAGGTCAGCGTGCTCACTGATCAGGCTTTTCCATCCCTGCCTTTTTTAAAAATAAGAACAGGTCATAGGTGCTATTCTTCCTGAAAAACAGGCAGTCTAGGTGAAAGAAAAAATGGTAAAGGACATACAAAGAGGAACTGTGTTCTCAGAATTGGAAGTGGCACTGAAACTTTTTGCCATTTTTGACTCAGGGAACATTCTCCTAGGCAACAATATGACAGAGCTCTCTCTCTCTCTCTCTCTCTCTCTCTCTCGTGTGTGTGTGTGACAGAAAGAGAGAGCACATTGTTTGTGTAATCTCATCCTTTTACGCTATAGGAATCAGTAGATGCCTATTTTCTCCTGTATATAGAGGTGCACAGTAACATAGGAAGATGCTTTAATGATGACTCAAACCACTTGTCTGTCAGTCTTCTCTGGTTGTGGCTCTGTAGGGCTTCAGGCAGGGGTCTGGCCTAGTCTTGCCTGGAGATGCTGGGGACTGAACATGGGAATTTTGCATGTACAGTGGTACCTCGGGTTACATACACTTCAGGTTACAGACTCCACTAACCCAGAAATAGTACCTCGGGTTAAGAACTTTGCTTCAGGATGAGAACAGAAATCGTGCTCCGGCGGTGCGGCAGCAGCAGGAGGCCCCATTAGCTAAAGTGGTGCTTCAGGTTAAGAACAGTTTCAGGTTAAGAACGGACCTCCAGAACGAATTAAGTACTTAACCCGAGGTACCACTGTAAAGCATGTGTTCTGCCACTGAGACACAGCCCTCCCCTATCATTCTGATTTCTAAGATGCATTAAAGGGCAGCTTTGAAGCTGACAAGACCAAACACACAGTTTAGAAGGCTGTGCCATAAATCAGGTGCTATGGATTTTTCAGTTGCTTTGTTTTCAGCTGTGGGTCAGTTCCCTCTCTTTCTAGGAAGAGACGTATAAAGAGGGTTGGATATGGATTACAGTATATATGTTAGTAGAATTTTCATGCAGTAGAAACTCTAAACTCAATGATAAAAAGCAAATGCTTTTTGTGATGTTCTATAATGGTTTTCTGTAGCCTATCTTGGGTCATGATTGAACTAAACTTCAAAGATAATTGGTTTAAATAAGGAACATTTTCCAGGGGGCAGTCATGTTAGTCTGCAACAACAAAAAGACTTGTGGCACCTTAAAGATGTAATACCTTTTATTACAGCAAAACGTTTCATGGGGTGTAATCTTCAGGTATGGGCAACAAATGTAAAGATGGAAGTGAACTGCAATGGAATACAAAAAGTACAGTCTGACAATTCAACTAGAGCTTGAATGTATGCAAAATGAGGAACGTTTAATCCATGCCAAAATGCTCCAGCTTGGTTTCAGTGGTCCTCAGCAAGGTTCATGGTTCGTAATGAGAAGCACAGGATCTTCTGCAAAACAACTTTATGCTCTCTCCCATTCATTATTGCTCCTGTTATTTGTGGGTAAGCTCTCACTGCCATACTTTTAAAACGCTGATTGTATTTCCTCTACCTTTGCAATCCGTCTTCCTTTAATGCATAGATTTGTTCAAAAAATCCATTAACAGATGGACCTTCTCACCTTGACCATTTCCAATGAAGACCCTCCAAAGGATTTGTCCTGATAGGACAATATAAAATTTTTAAATGTATATACACATAGCAGTGCGGCCTCTGTATACCGTGAACCTGTGCTTCAATTATACCAGCAGAAAAATCTGAAATGATCAATAAAATAATGAATTAATAAAAGATAACTGCTAGATGTGATTTAATCAGAGAGAAAGTGCAAGAAGCAGGTATCAGGAGTTGGTCAGCAATACATCACACAGAATAAGCGAAATCTTTCTTAGAAGAAACAAGGTCTGCTCAGGAGTTCCAGGCCCAATGGGCACAGCAAATCTACTTGGTAGATCTTGCCTCTATGAGGCAGTTGTGGGACTGAAGGTCCCTGCCTTCCCCCAGCTGCCTAAGTCTCTTCCTCTCCCACAATTTGAGACTGTGCTGGCGTGCCTGCCTTTGCTTCTCCCCCTTCATCCTTCTTCTAGTCCTGGGAGGTCAGGGAAGAAGGTAGCTTGTCACACCAAGAGCAGGTGAACTCCTGGCTTCTTCACCAACCTGACTCATCTCTGCCTCTCTGGCCTCCCCTCTTGCTTCCGATTCTGATTCTGCACGTCTCTCTGCCACAGACTCTTCCTGTTCACTAAACCCTGTTACATCTTCAGCTTCAGACACATCCTCTTCCCAGGCTTCTCCCTCCGACTACTCATCATCATCCCACCACCAAGCCCTAGGCTCTGAGCCTTAGTTCCTTGGGGGTTTCCTAGCTGGTACCTTCCACCATTCCTCTGTGTCCAACCAACCCATGACACAGAGAGACGGGGAGAGAGATGTGTATATGGACAAAGGGATCATTTATGGACAATCCCTGAGGCTGCATATACTGTTCAGCTTTTTCTGAATGACTGCTGGTTCTGGAAAGACAGTGGCAGCAAGGGAGTAGGGAGGAGAAAGTGGGAACCTGACTTCTGGGATGCCCTTCTCTCTCAGCAAGTAATCATGCTGGTGTGGCCCAGCACTTTCTCTGCTAGGTTGTCATATGTCCAACGCAACAGTCAGTACAAAGGCCTTTTCCCTCCCCTGCCTGGATGCTGATGCAGCAATACAGTCCTCTGGGCTATCATCACCCTCCAGCATCAGCTCAATACATACATCAAGGAACACCAGGGCTATGGGACAGAGCTTCACCCTTCTGCTCATCTTTCTGGGCGTGCAGGTTGTGGCAGGAGCTTTCAAAATCTGTGCTTTCAACATACGCAGTTTTGGAAGAGCCAAGGCAGCAAACCGGAGGGTCATGGGAGCTCTTGTCCAGGTGAGTTTGTGATTGATTTGGACCAAGGGCAATGGTGATAACAGTGCTTCATTACTTTAATGAGCAATTCTTGCTCTCGGCCCTGCTTAGAAACCATGAACTGTATTCCTAACCCTAGAGATCTGGGGGCAGCTGCGGTTATGGCAGAGGTAAAAACACTGTGGATGGCAGGCTGCAAATGTATTCCTGCTACAATGATAAGCAAATAGAATCATAGAATTAATAGGGACCTGAAGGGTAAGCTAGTCCAACCCTCTGCAATGCAGGAATCTCAACTAAAGCATCCATAGCAGATGGCCATAAGCAAATAGCCGGGAGAAAACTGTACCAGCTACTCCACAAGCTGGGAGATTTAAGACCATGTAACAAAAATGAATTCTGAGCAGGAGGTCTTTCAGTTGAGGCAGTCTGACAAGCAGCTAAGTTCAAAGGCCTGCTCTAGCCTGTATTAAAGTTGGGTTTAATTGCAAACTTAGGAATTTTAGGAGCATGTATTTCATAACTATAGGGCTCAAGCTCAATGATAGAACATCTGCTTTGCATGCAAAAGGTCCCATGTTCAAATCTTGGCATCACTAAGTAAAGACTCTTGTCTGAAAGCTGGAAAGCTGCTACCAGTCAATGTAGATACTAAGCAAGATGGTTCAGTGTCTGGCTTGGTAGAAGGCATCTGTTTAATACAAGTCATGCAGCCAACCCTTGTTTTTAAGCAAAGGGATGTGTGCTTTTGACAAACACTGGCCCACTTGATTTTTTTATAATGTCAATGCAATGTGTAGAAACCACACATTGGTCAGCTTCACACTGACTGGAGTGCTGAAGCAATTCCTAATTCATCTCTAGGCAAGACCTGAAAACCTTTGCATGGAATCTTAGAGACAGAATTGTAGAGTTGGAAGGGATCCTGAGGGTCATCTAGTCCAACCCCCTGCAATGCAGAAATCTCAGCTAAAGCTCTCTGCTTAAAAACCTCCAAGGAAGGAGAATTCACCACCTTCTTATGGAGTCCATTCCACTGACAAACAGCTCTTACTGTCAGAAAGTTATTTTTGATGTTTAGTCAGAATCTCCTTTCTTATAACTTGAAGCCATCACTTTGGGTTCTATCCTCAACAGCAGAAGAAAACAAGTTTGCTCCATCTTCTATGTGACATCCCTTTGGAGTCGGCTATCATAGTCTCCTCTTTTCCAGTCTAAACATACCCAACTCCCACAACTGTTCCACATAAGTCTTGGTTCCCAGGGCCTTGTCCATCCCCACCATGTCAACGTCCCTGGTCATCGCATGCTAAGGCAGTGATATGAACAAATGCTGCATCTGGTTACCTTTGATCATTCTTTCCAATCTGTTTACTTAAGAGTTTGGCGAGATCTTGTGAGATCTGGTAGATGTTGATGCTGCTTCTCCACCAGGGCAGAGGTGGAAGGGCTGCTGCTTCACTCTGCTCACGAGTGGAGGGGGCCTGGTGCCTACATTCCTTTCTGTTACTAATTAATTCATCCAAGACGTCAATGGATTTCCCCATCACTTCCTGCACCACAAACTGGTTACTGTTGTTTTTAAAAAGCAGGCAACAAAGCACTCTAACCCACTATGAAGTTCTGCAGAACAGTGGCAATGCGGAAGCGACCAGGACCAAGAGAAAGGGGGAAACATGTGTGACAGTGACAATGCCCAGAGCACCTCATTGCCCTGACCACCCACTCTTCTCCCACTGCCAGATCCTCTCTCGCTGTGATATTTCTGCCATCCAAGAGGTGCGGGACTCCAGGGGTGCAGCTATTCAGACATTGCTGCGGGAGCTGAACAGGTAGTACCAGCAGAGGCTGCTAATCATAGACCTAGTCAAAACATGCAGTAGAAGGAGGGGGTATAATCTGAATGGTACCATTTCAGGTTACAGGTGGTGTGGGGAGATCGCACAGTTAGTTTATTTTTATTCACAGGGAGATTTCTTTTTTTATTGTGGGGGAGCATTCTAACAAGGCTTCCCCGCCCCCCATTGCTCCATTCTTCATCTGAGGATCCTGTACCACCCCATTCTGTTATCAGGCAAAGTGGCATCTTGAACTCTTTCTCCCTGGCAGGTATGATCCCTCTCATCACTACAGCCGCCTGGAGAGCAAGAGGCTGGGGCGAGGCAGCTACAAGGAGCAGAATGTCTTTGTGTATCGGTAATGTCTGGGGGAGCTGGGAACATGACTAAATCAGAGCCCCAGGAACCAAAATCCAACTCTGGCCTATATATGCATGTATATAACTCTCCCTCTCCCAGGATAGTGTTTTACGGGGTGGCCATTTTGTTACCCACGGTGAAGGACAAAATGATACCTGCCTTCCTCCATTTTAAGCACCAAAGCTGAGCAGTGTGAGAATTTATTTATTACTTATTTCAGTAATAAACACCCAAGTCACTAGGTAGTAAGGCTAAAAAGATACAGTGAATACAGTAAATCAGAAAACTAAATAAAAAAATCAGAAAACGTAGCTAAAATGCCTGCTGATTTTTAAAGAAAGAAGAAAACATTTTCACTAGATGTCAAAACTTCAAGGGGGGGGGCTACCTGATCTCAGCTGTGGGTTCCACAGAAATGGATCCACAGTATTGAACATACAATATGTGCTAGAAGCTGTCCAGAATGGTTGGGTGAGGTATAACAACAAGAACAACTTCCTTGCACTGCTGTTCCCCTCCTGCCCACCCACCTTAGCTACAACATCTACCAGCTGAGGCAGCCACCTCACTGCCTAACGGTAGGGCCCATTCTGGTATTTTAATTGCCCATCAATTATAACACAATTTAACAATATGCATTTCCATATTTGTTACCCCTATAATCCCACCCTTCCTCCAGAACTATTTTTTAGCCTCAGAAAAATGTATTTGGGCAAACGGGGGTATGAGACAATAATTTTCCAGTGAACTTTGTTTTGGCTGAGCAGCGATTTCAGTCTGGATTTGCCACATATAAAGCTGGACTTAAGTGTCCATCCACTACTCCACACCTGCTCATTAGTGTTGGGTCTCGCAGCTCTGGTTTCTGGTTGGGGAACCAAGGCCTGGATCTCCTGAGGATATAAACCTGGGTTTGGGCTGAGACGTTGGCCTGCTGAAAGAGGCTTACCTGATTTAATCATAATAATGACCCCTTCACAAAGATAGATTGCAAATCGGGGTGAAAGGGAGTATCAGGGTGCCGACATCTATATTTTTTAAAGGTTAAATATATTATATATATATATATATATATATATATATATATATATATATGCAGGTTTTGGTGTCCTCGGGTGTCTTCCCGTGTAAAAGTTGGGGTGTCTAGGCGACGTTTCGACGAGGTTCACTCGTCATCTTCAGGCTGGTGCTTTCGGCTTCTTGTTACTGGAACAGAGCTCTGTTCCAGTAACAAGAAGCCGAAAGCACCAGCCTGAAGATGACGAGTGAGACCTCGTCGAAACGTCGCCTAGACACCCCAACTTTTACACGGGAAGACACCCGAGGACACCAAAACCTGCATTCCTGTACCCGTGAAAATCTACGAAAGCAAATATATATATATATATATATATATTTTTAAAGGTTAAATATACTTAACCTTTTGAGGAATGAAGGCTCCTTGGATGCATCTTCCCTCTGATGCCTACTTTTTTGTCCTTGACAGAATGGATGTTGTGTCAGTTACTGATTGGTGCCAGTTTGGGGATGAGGATGCCAGAGATTACAAGGCATTTGCCCGGGGGCCCTTTGCCGCTCGCTTTCACTCTCCATACACAGGTAACACCCAGTTTCTCCACACAGAGGTCTAAATTGTTCTGGATACTTGTCCACAGTTTCTTGGTGATCCAGGAGCTGTTACCTCCAAGGCAGTTATGGAAGATTACCTCGGTTTTAGGACTGAAAGCCTGGCATTTCTTATGGACATTTCTTATGGTCCGTTCTTAACCTGAGAAACTGAAGCACCACTTTAGCTAATAGGGTTTCCTGCTGCCACCACCGTGCGATTTCTGTTCTCATCCTGAAGCAAAGTTCTTAACCTGAGGTACTATTTCTGGGTTAGTGGAGTCTGTAACCTGAAGCGTATGTAACCTGAAGCATGTTACCCGAGTTACCACTGTATAGCCCTAGTTGGATGGTTCATTGGTGCTTAGGGTAGATGAGGAAACAGAGGAAATTGAATGTATTGAGAAGCTGAGGTAAAGGAGCTAGCTCTTGTTAACTGTGCATGTGTGTGTAAAAACAGCCACTAAGAGGAAGGATTAGGGAGATCAGTAGCGAAACCTCTCCCATCATCTGAACTGCTGTCTTCCACCCCACAGCTATCCTAGACTTTGTGCTACTTTTACACCACACCAGTCCTCGGGAAGCTGCCCATGAGCTTGATCTGCTGTTTGGAGTATGCACAGAACTGATGCAACAGTGGAAAACTGAGGTATATTATGGGGGCAGGAGATGTTGTAAACTCAGCAAGTCACTAAGAACATAAAAGCCCTGCTGGATCAGAAGACCCATCTAGTCCAGCATCCTGTTCTCACAGTGGCTGACCAGATGCGTAATAGGACATCCTGCTCCTGATTCCCAGCAACTAGCTTTCAGTCTCATGCCACCTCCTCTAGTGGGGATGCTATTCACATACAACCCTTTCCTTGTGATCTGAATAGAATGTGATGCTGCTGGGAGATCTGAATGCTGCTGGTGCCTACATCCCAGCAAGTGCTTGGGCTGGGATCCGCCTGCGCAATCACCTTGCTTTCCACTGGCTCATTGGTGACGGAGAGGACACCACAGTCAGCCACCGGACCTGCTGTGCCTATGACAGGTACCAGAGGACACTTTTCAGCTCCACTCACCCATTCTCAACATGCTTCCCCTTACTCCCAAAAGCAATCCAGTATTTGCCAGCCTTTCAAGCAAGCATGCCAGACAGAAAGTAAGCCCTGAGGAGATTGTGTCACTTACAGTGTATACCATATGCCCTTTTTTGGTGTGGTTTTGCTTCTGGTCTGTTGAGCTGGAGAGCAGACAACACTAGAGGCAGAGACTACTCCTGATCTGTGCCATAGCCAGGGCAAGAACTTAAAAGAGCTAACCTGGCACACTAGACTCCTGCTTTGTGTCACGTTAAGTTGGCCATGCTTTTTTTGTTGGGGGCAGAGCAGAGACCCATCACACTCCACTTTTGTACTCTGTCCTCCCATGCTAGGATTATAGTCCATGGAGAAGAGCTGCTTGGCGCCATTGTACCCAGATCTGCCAAGCCTTTCAACTTCACACAAGCACTCGGACTATCGGAGGAAGAGGTGGGTGTAGTTGGGCTCCTTTCTTAACTGGCTGCTAGTTTGAATATGATGTAGAGACCTGAATAACCCACACCATTTCATTCCTACAGGCCCTAGCAATCAGCGACCACTATCCTGTAGAGGTGAATCTTCGGCTTGCTCCGAAAGCCCAGCGAGAGCTCTAAACCGTCAACCATCCTTTTGGCTATAGAAGCAAGGGCAATGGCAGGGCAAAGAGAGACTAACTTCTCTCTGGGAAAGGAAAGTTTGACAGAGCTTCAGGAGGAGACAGGATCAACATCGGCTGAGAGAGATTTTTGGGGGTCAGTAGGACCGCCAAAGGGGACGCGGGTGGCGCTGTGGGTAAAAGCCTCAGCGCCTAGGGCTTGCCGATCGAAAGGTCGGCGGTTCGAATCCCCGCGGCGGGGTGCGCTCCCGTTGCTCGGTCCCAGCGCCTGCCAACCTAGCAGTTCGAAAGCACCTTCGGGTGCAAGTAGATAAATAGGGACCGCTTACTAGCGGGAAGGTAAACGGCGTTTCCGTGTGCGGCTCTGGCTCACCAGAGCAGCGATGTCACGCTGGCCACGTGACCCGGAAGTGTCTGCGGACAGCGCTGGCCCCCGGCCTCTAGAGTGAGATGGGCGCACAACCCTAGAGTCTGGCAAGACTGGCCCGTACGGGCAGGGGTACCTTTACCTTTACCTTTAGGACCGCCAAAAATGTGACTTTAAGGGTAACTGTGAAGGACGTTGGATTGAAGAGAAGGGGGATTGGGAAATATGGACAAATCTGAAGTTGTTATGGTTGGGCCGAGCTGTTGTGGTGGGGATGAGGGTTGCTGTGTTGCCGGGGATGTTGCTTTTGTATCAAAAAGTGCAAGTTTTGGATGGGAGGGATTGTTTCAGGAGGTGGCAGAGGGATGTTCCTGGATTTGTTTGGCAGGGCAGGAAGCCTCGAGTAAAACTTAAGATATTGACGGATGTTAAAGGAGGTGGACCTGCCCTGCCAGACACCTAAACTTTGTTGTGAATCATCTGCTTTTTGCTGGCTGAGAGAATGGCTGTCTCTTAAAAGCATTGAAGTGTTGGATAATGGCAGATGAAGTTGATGGACTAGATTGAATTGGCGGAAAAGACTGGCAAGATCCGAGACCAGGGAGAAGAGTCGGTGGAAGAAGACTGGGAAAAGTTTATGGCTTTAGTAGAAATGTTATAAGGAATTAAGTATAAATAGATTAATAGAGTATTAAAGGAAAATAAGGTTAAAAGGTGTTAAGATAATTATAGGATAGAAAACGGGAAGATGGTAAGGAATTGCTGCAATAATTAACAGAAGTGGAATACAAAAAGGGAGGTGTGAGGAGGCCGTGGAAATATGGGAAAGAAAGATAAGATATTGGAAGTTTTTTCTTCCCCCCCCCTATCTTTTGATGTGTTTTAAAATTGTTTCTGTTTTGTTAATTTTTATGTAGTGTTTGTGTATTATAATGTGTGTTTTTTTGTTTTTGTAAGTGTTTTGTTTTTGTAACACTTTTGTAAGTGTTTAAATTGTTGTAAAAGCAATAAATATTATTTAAATAAAAAAAAGCACGATTTCTGTTCTCATCCTGAAGCACTATTTCTGGGTTAGCGGAGTCTGTAACCTGAAGTGTATGTAACCCAAGGTACCACTGTACTATGTTCACTTGTTTCCAGAAGAGGGTGAACGTATGTTTGATGTTTTATCAAACCCACAGTAACATTAATGTAACAGTAAACACAGCAGCTCAATAGACATTTTTTATTTCCATTCATCTTCCTTCAAGAATTTAGGAAAGCAGCTTGTGGATAACCACCAAGCACTTATGCTGCATGCAATGCACGCCACTTGTCCAGAGGGCCTCTGTTGGGGATGTATTTCACTCCACAGCCATCAGGGATAAGGCGCTTCTCAGCCACCATGTCCTCAAACTCATCAGCATTGAATTTGGTGAAGCCCCATTTCTTGGAAATGTGGATCTAGGTGAGAGAGAAGACATCAGAAGCTTGCCTCAGACTTCCCAGCTATTATGCATTTACTACTGAGTATCAGCCTGTCTTTGTTAAGAGAGCTGAGAAGCAACACAACATGTCAACTGGCCTGTCCCTCCATACCAACTTAGTCAGTCACTGTAGATGAAAGTCATATGACAAAGTTCATTCTGGGCAAAAGGTTGCAAGAGCACCAAACTTATGATCTCACTAGCTATACTGAGAGATTTATCTTGTTTTGCACCCTATCTTTAGCGGTGCAACACCTGTATACTTCTGCACTGACAGTATTCTTCCCTCACCAATAAACGCATTACCTTCTGGCGACCAGGGAACTTAAACTTGGCTCTGCGCAGTGCTTCAATGACATGTTCCTTGTTCTGCACCTTGGTACGGATGGACATGATGACCTGGCCAATATGCACACGGGCCACAGTGCCCTGAGGCTTACCAAAGGCTCCACGCATTCCTGTCTGGAGTCTAATAAGAAACAAAAACCAAATCTTAGGGTGTTATCCTCAAAGACTATACCACGCTGCTACACCCACCACCAGTGAAGCCCTCTTGGCAAATGTAGAAGCCAAGAGCTTCAGCCAGTCATGCACCTCACCAGGTCTCAAGTGTTCCCAGGGTCCCTTAAGGTGCACTGTACAAGGAACAGAGCACGTACACAACCAAGGGAGTTACTGTGTGCAGTCAGTGCACACCACCCCCCGATAGCAGCAGGGGCTGGTCGGCTTAATTGACTGCAAGGTCAATTTTAACACCAGAACTGGGTCTCTACCCATTCCTCACCTATCAGCTCCAGCACATGACAACATCTTGTTGATGCGGATGACATGGAAGGGGTGCAGGCGCACACGGATGTGAAATCCATCCTTACCACAACTTTTCACCATGTATTTGTTGGCACAGATACGGGCGGCCTCTAGAGCTACAGAAAGAGAGACAGGGTGAATGGGGCAGACCATAGAAGCCCAGCAAAAAGAGTGGTTTGAGTGGTCTGTTGGTGCTCTGTACCTTCTGATGAAAGCTGCTCATATTCATCTGACACCATGTGCCCACAGAGTGGGAACTCATCAACCTTGGCCTTCTTCCTGCCCAGGTCAAAAATCCTGATCTTGGGATCTGAAGAATAGAAAGTAATATTATCAGCCAGTTCACTAAAACTCGGATTTCCTAACAGGCCAAATTAGGTGCAATCCACTCTGACCAGGCAATTAAGTCTCATCAGGCTATCCTGTTGGATTAAATTCTACATTCCTATCTGAATGCATGAAGTTCAATTTAACAGTTCATCAGGCAAAAATAAATATATTAACTTACCAGGAACACCTCTACAGAAACGGGATTTGGGGTAAGGCTTGTTCTTGCAGTATCGATAACTAGAAGAAAAAGACAGATAAGGTAGTCAGAAACAATTTTTTGAAATTAAAGTCACAACTGCTGAATATGTTAAACCAGAAATGGGGAACCTATAGCCTTGCATAGGTTGTTGAACTACAGCTCCCATCAACCCTTGCCTCTGGTCATTCACATCTGATTGGGGGTTGGTGGGTTAGAAACTGGTCCAAGATGCAGTCCCAGATATTAGCCTTTTAAACCAATTTACTAGCCTAATGGAGATTAGCAGTGGAAGGATGAAGAGCTCCAACCTTCCTTCAGCAGCTCATTGCATGTCTATGCTGGGCAAACATAAGGAACAGAATCCTCCTTCCATGTTGCTAGTCTGCTCACTTGCCACATTCAATTTCTTGCTGCTCTATGGCTACCAAGCAAGTGCTAAATTAGAAATATGTCTCATACAATTAATAAAGAGCATGTAGACACTTATCTGTATTTATTGGCTTTTATTTTCATACTAGTACTGTTTCTTAACAGTAAGGGAAGTTCTGTGAACCCAATAACTTCTACTTTCCCTATACATTTGGCTGACAGATCTGGCTCCCATCCCAAGATCAATAGTAATTTCTGCAGCAATGTTTACCTCAAAGTTACACCATGGTTTGGACAATCGCTTTCGGCTCAACAAGCCATGGCTTTTGAAGCTTGGAATGGGCACTTGTGAGAAGTATGTCTCCTATTCCTCATCAGTTTCTATGCAAAAATCTTGGCTTGTGTTAAGACACAACCAGGAAATCTGGATTTATGCTGGCCTGCTGGGGGTGGTGTGTGATAGAATGGCTAGTACCTGGCTTCATAAAAGTTTATGAGGCTTTGAATGAAAGTCTGAACCAGGCCATTATGTGGTCTCAGGCAAAGCCACTTTCAGTCTCAACTCTCTAAGCTTAGTATCTAATGCTTAGTGTTGTAAGAATAAAATAAAGAATATTTATGTGAAGCACTCTGAAGACTCTCACACAAATTAGTATCATACTGTACTCAACTACATCCTACTCAAGAGTGCATCCACTGAAATTAGTGAACCTGTTAGTCATACCTGCTTGCTTCAGTGGGCTTACTCTGTGTACAACTAGCAGTGACTACCACCCAAACCACTAACATTATGGATATTAGGGACAAAGAACACGGGGAGGCTTCAGCCTTCGTGTCCCGCTTAAGGGTTTCTGATGCATGCATACAACTGGCAGCTGCTAGGAGGCAGGATGCAAAATGAGGCGGGCAGCCCCTTGATCAAATCTGGCAGAAATCTCATGTTTTTATGCTAAACTCACGGGGTGTGTGTGTGTGTGTGTGTGTACGGGGTGGGTGCTTGGGGTCTAATAGCCATCCCAGGAAGGCAACCTTGCTGCTAAGAACCACCACAGGCGGCAACGCAGAAGGGTCCACGGGCCACAAGCAAGCCGTGAAAGCCCAGAGCCCCCGAGGCGGGGCCCGTTTCGGTCGCCCACCCTCGTCCTCCCCGATCGCGGCCCCCGCCAGAAGAGGAAAGCGGGAGATGCGGCTGCCAGGAGAGACCCCTTTCGGCCTCTCCCGTTCCTGGCAGAGCCGCCTCGCCGCGTCCTCCCCCTGACGGAGCCGGCCACGCGGCCTCCCCCCGGCCTTGCCCGTCCTCCGGGCGGCCCAACTCACCAGCGCGCGGGTCGGCGGCCCATGGCTGCAGGTCTGAGAGGCAAAGAGAGAGAGAGAGAGTCAGTCCGGGGCCGCCAAGGGAAGCGGGCCGAGCGCAGGGCCTGCTTCTCGCTCTCAGGCCCAAGCCGCGCCGCAGCCGCCTCACCCGCGTACTCACCTCGCCGAGCGGAAAGAGAGCGGGGAGCGCGCCTGCGCGCTGCTTATCAACGCTGCCGCTCTAGGACGGCCGCGGACACAGAGGTTGGGGCTTGTCTGGACCGGAAGCAGCGGAAGCTTAACGTATCCGGAAGGTCGGCGCGACACGTTAGCTTCCGGGTTGATTCTGACTCCATTTGAGTGGACGTTTAAGCCTTTAACTGAGGGATAGAAGGGCGAAGGAGGTGCCCGTGCAGTTGAACATACATTTGCTGCCGAATTTTTTTAGATGGGAGATCTTAAAAACAACAACAACCCTCGTGTCAGTGCTGATCGTTATAATAGCCTCAGTATTTGAACTATATAACGTGTGGAATTGCCCGTGGCTTTTGAGTTAGGTGGCGCTAGTTTTCAAGGTCTTTATTCATGGGAAGGGGCCGCAAAGCCTCTATCGACCTCCGCTCTTACTTGGCACTTCGAAATACAGTAACATAGCTGTTCTTTTTATACATCTATATATATCTTTATCTACTGTATACTATTTCTGTTATCATTGTACACATAAGTAATAAAACATGTACTGTACATGAGTGACAAAAAAATGGGTCGCCGGGGGTGTAAAATGTTAAACATATTATTTTACAGTACCATAATAATGAGGTAAACCAGTTCAATGAATTCTTCAAAAAATCAGCTTGGGAAACAGAGTAATAGTTGTTTTATTAACGTGGCTGTAATATGCAATTTTGTCGAAAGTTTACAAAAAAACCAAAACAAAGACTTAATTCACATTGAAGTCCAATATGTATCATTTAACTTGCTGGCTTTCCGTATAGTCTTCAACCCCGAAACGAGGAGCAATTTTATTAAGACGTCCTTGCTTGCACAGTTCTACTCTAACTAAGGATGCATTGCAGCTCTCGTGGCATTCAGCTGAAATCATAAATAAGCAAAAGCAACACTAAACGAAGAGCAGAATAATTAAACGAATTTCTATTCGTTTGGCGCCTACTGTGAGCCCTGCTTCCTTTGGACATTACGACCTGCTGGGTTAATAACTAATAAAATGGCAGCTGTGAGTTATTTACGGTTGCAAAGTACGAATGAGAATGCTAGGAATCCCGGAGAATATCCACCGGGAATTATAATGATCTCAAGCTCTGTCGGCAGAGACAGGCTAAAAGCAACTTTACTGCGCATGCGCTCCTCCCGCCGCTTGTGCAGGAAGACGCGGTTTCTTACGGGATTTCGTCACAGATCTCGCGGTATCTGGATAAGACTCCTCTTAATTCGCCCCCCTCAGAAGATTCAAGGATGGCGGCTTCGGCAGTTTTGTACACTGGCAGGCAGCTGTGGAGGCCAGCCTTGTTGGCGTCCCGCTCGGTAAGACGACGGTTTCGACTGCGGTTGTGGACAATGACCTTGTCCGGAGGTGAAGAGAAACCGGCGCCGCTTCTTGGTTTCCTCTCAGGGGAGTGGGTGGGCGGGCTGCGGCAACCGTTGCCATGTTTCCGATTGGTTAAGGAGGCAGACGGCGGGTGGGACAAAAGGAGAATGGTGCTTTCGCATTGGCTGGCCTCTTATGGAAAGGTTTTTTATTGGGCGCTTCCTTTGGGACTCGTTGCGTAGCAGATAATTTTGATTGGGCGATAGATATGAGACTAGGAGAGGAGAATTAAAGGGCTAAAAGCACAACCAAGGAAATTAAAGGAAAGGAAACAGCCCCGTTTGCACGAGATTATTATTACTCTTATTAGTAACCTCTATAGTAATGAGTCTGGAATAACTGCCACCCATTGCTTTCATACAGACTTATTTATTAATTGCATTTATCTCCCACCTTTCATCCAGGGAGCTCAAGGTGGTTCACACTTTTCCTGCTGCTCCCCATTTATCCTCACAACAGCAGCCCTGTGAGGTAGGTCAGGTTGAGAGGCAGCGGCTGGCCCACAGTCACCCAGTGAGCGTCATGGCTGAATGTGGATTTGAACCCTTCATTAGCAGTAAATACTTGACCATATTTGATGGGACAGTTGAGCAAGAACGCTTTGACAGAGCAAATATCCAGCTCTAGCTTCTGGCAAAGGGGAATAAATGAAAGATCGCGCTCAAACCTGGAATTTCACAGAGTCAGGCAGACACCTAGTGTTTCATTCCTGTCTTGTAAGAATCCTTTATTTCTGAATTCCCCAAATCACCTTCCTTAGCCTATACTGTTTTTCTCTCTCCCTCACAGGTGCAGGCTCTGACAGATGGCAGTCGCAGGAATGTGGCCTCGGTTTGTATTGCTTGTGCTTGCCATCCTTTGTCACAGAGAGATGTTAGGGGAGGCACTCTTGTCTTCTGTTGTACATTATTTCCCCCACAAATTCACTGACCGCTGTCTATGGACAGATGGGGAATGTAAATAGTCCTGATGTGACACCTGTTTCTAATCTCTTTACTGATTGGGCACCCGAGGAGTTGGGATCAAATCTGGTATGCAAACAAAATGTTGCAATCTAGGACAGTTTCTCCTCTTGGAGGAAGATGTTCTAATGGGCTCTGCCATGTTGACCTGCCTTTTCCATGTCTTCTCTTTGTTCAATTGGAGTAATAATTCTGACTTATTAACTGTGTAGGGAAATTACAAGGTAATAACAGTCTTGTACCTTTTAAAATCAGTGGTTAAAATCAGTGCAGTTTTCAAAGGTTGAGGCTATTATCTTGATTCAAAATGGCATCCAATTTTATCCCAACATAGATGAAAATCTGCTCCTTGATTCACAAACTGTTGTGCAAAATTTGGTTATGATATCTTGAAGAGGTATCCGAATGCATAGCAAGCAACTAACTTTCCAAAATACATGGAAAAATTAAAAAGATCTGTGGATAACATTTCAGAGGCACCAGATATACTTTCTGGACCCTTGGAAGTTTGGTCTTGTAGTCCTTAATACACTCTGGCTTCCCTGTTCACTAAAGCTGGTGTCCGTGAGGATTAGAATCCTGGTCATATTTGTTTAAAAATGAAAGAAATCTTTGACTATTGCAGCACACAGAGGAAGTCACACTCTGTAAATCGCAATACTATAATGGATCTAAGGACCTAAGAGATTGTAAAGCACTCTGCTGGTTAAAATGCTAGATGAAGGATCTTGGCAAATGTTTGGTTAACAATAAATGTTTTTTTACACTGCTGCCTGTGAAACTCCTGTTCTTTTTTCTTCCTTTCCCATCTTCCCAATATCTGTTCCTGATACACTGGCTACAGCAACAAACTATTGTAAGTAGTTTTCCTACCATTTCAGTTTTAAACTTGGAGTTACAGCCAATGGGTTTAAGTCTCCTATTCCAATTATCAAGTATTCACCAGGCTGCAAATGTCCCAAGCTGGATGGTAACTGGCAAAGGGTGGTTGCTAAGACTGACACTACTGAGCTAGAATATATGGACCATTAGTCCTAAGTTGTTCTTTAGCCTCCTCTCCCAAGTTGGAAATAGTGGGATTAAACCTTTCTTCAATTTGGTTTTGGAAACTGTCTCCTGAATGGGGTCTGATAAGCTAGAGTTGGGAATACTAGTGTCTATATTTATCACTGGAAACCAAAGGTCAGAGTGGCTAAAATTCAAGGCAATTGAGAATATCATGACAATCCTTAGTGCTGGTTGAATGTAGTGTAGCAAGCTAAAAGAATGAGGTGAGAATGGGGTGGTCTGCTGGTTAGAATAGAGCAGCTGGTGTTACCTGGCTGGGATCTAGGACTCTCAGGGTTTCATTCTTCACTTTGAACAAAGAATCTATGCCCTTGTTGTTTTTAAGCTCTCCTGATCATCAGAAGCTTGTCAGGGGTTCCTCACAGGGAAGGAAGATCCATAAGGGTGAACCAGCTTGTTTGCCTTCCATGCTTTGTGTAGGCATAGGGAAGTACTGAGCATGTTCTAGGATGTTCCCCCTAGTTAGCAAGGGGTGACAGTGAAGCCCAGTAGGCCAGACGAAGCACTCCATGCAAACTGAGTGGGTGACTTAGAAAATGCCCCAGAACCCTCTGCAGTGTGGGTGGGGGCATTTCATGGCAGATTCTGCATGTCAGTGTGGAAAGGGTTCTTTGGAGGCTTGTCTGAAAGGCATTGGCCTAGATGAGCATGGCAGGGACGTGTAGTTACTGAGAACAAAGGCCTCCTAAGATTCCTGGGCAGGGGTGTGGCCTAGCCGAAAGGATTACGATTTGCAAGATTTTGTTCTAAACTGCCTAAACCTTCACCTCTTTCTCCACAGCCTCCACCAGCCAAATATGGGGGACGCCATACTGTGACAATGATTCCTGGAGATGGGATTGGGCCGGAGCTTATGCTTCATGTCAAGGAGGTGTTCAGGTACAAATTTCCTCTCTGTGTGCCTCTCCAGAGCTGTGCATAAGACCCAGAAGGCCTGCTAGTGTGCACTGATCTCTCCTGCTAACTAATAGACACTTTTTGCCTCTCAAAGCCATGGCTGGAAGTCACCTTGACTGCCCCATCCTTCTCTTCTCTCTACCCCAGGCATGCCACTGTGCCTGTGGACTTTGAGGAAGTTCTGGTCAGCTCAGAGGGATCTGAAGAGGACATGCAGAATGCTCTCATGGCCATCCGGCGCAACCGTGTAGCCCTCAAAGGTGATCCTTTGCTTTTCACAGCATGCAGAATTGTGCCAAGTTCTGCATAAAGTGAAGTCGAAAGGAGGAGAAAGGGGTGTCCTGTGTATCTTTTCAGGGGGCGGTTGGAAAGGGCAGATTTGTTTTACTGGGCTGCATGGGCTTAGTAAAGGCCAGTATCCATTTATTTTCCAAAGCCACATTTTGGATTCATCTGGTCCCCTTTCCTTCTTCCTTTCTTCCCTTCTTTTATTATTATTGTCACAAGAGACCAGGGCCCTGCGGGACTTGACATCTTTCCGCAGGGCCTGCAAGACAGAGCTGTTCCACCAGGCCTTTGGCCAGGGCACAGCCTGACTCCCTCCCTTGGCAATCTTCGCGGAGCTCTGGCCCAATGATTGCCAGTGGCTTGAATTAATTAATTTTATAATGAATGATTTTAGAATGTTGTTTATGCTGTACTTTTGTACTGTTTTATTGTTGTTAGCTTCCCTGAGCCCGGCTTCGGCTGGGGAGGGCGGGATATAAATAAAATTTATTATTATTATTATTATTCCCTCTTCAGTCCAAAACGAGCCTATTCTATGTTTCGCCTTAACAGTATTTGAAGATGCTTATTTTTTTATTACATTTATATACCATCTCTGTCTTCCAAGGAGCTCAAGATGGTGTGCATGGTTCTCCTCCTCCCCATTTCATCCTCACAACAACCCTGTGAGGTAGATTAGGCTAAGAGATGGTGACTGGCCCAAGATTACCCAGTGAGCTTCATTGCTGAGTGAGGAGTTGAACCCTGATCTCTTAGGTCATATTCCAATACTCTGCTGCATTTAAACCTATATCTAATATTGCATCCTTGTGATAGCTCTGGAAAACTGGTGCTGTTTATTCCCATTTTGTGGATGGAGGAACTGAAACTAACAGCCTCTCAGTACATGTCTGACTGCTGTGGAATCTGAATCCAGATTTCACAGGCTTGATATTTTATCCACGTTTGTTTCTAACCCATCAGGAAAGAGGACAATTTATATAGCTGCAATTTTCAGATTGCCCCATATTGGTGTGCTATGTTTACTAAGGCCAGGGAGTGAATCCTCTTATTAACTGGTTCTCTTTTCCTGGCTTTATAGGAAATATCGAGACGAACCATAACTTACCACCTTCTCACAAGTCCCGGAACAACATAATGCGGTGAGTTGAGAGAGAGGCTTAGCCCAGTTGCCAAGCAGAGCCTAAGAGTTGGGAGTGTGGTTTAGTCCTTATACAACCATTCATTTCCATTTTCTACCCCTGTGTAGAGGCTTAAAAAAAATAGTGGAAGTGGAAGGAAGTATGTAAATGAGGCCAGTAGTCTTAATTTCTGTATTGCTTACCATAGTGATGCCACAAGTCACAGGACTGACGTGTTACTCTAGTATGCTGCCCACACATATGCAGCTCTGCCCTCTGTTCCTTGGTGTGGTTTTGCTTCTGGTCTGCTGGGCTGGAAAGCATATTGGAAAAGCAAGCGGCAGCATTCTTGCTGGTTGGGTGTGACCCTGCATCACAGCCAGACCCATCAGCCCTCCTGCTCCCATCCAGGTGTGCCACGGAATCTCATTTCCAATGATGTGGGTTGGTCATCATCCATAGCATATGAGGTTCATCTCTCCTAGCAAGACGATACTCTTGTTAAGGCAATTGGCGAAACTAGGAAGAAGGTGGATCTGGGGCAAAAGGAACAATTGTGCTTTCTGAAGT